CAGAATGGCTCAGCTCTGGTTATTTGCGGCCATCGGGATAGTGAACCAATGGACGGAAGATCTTTCCTCTTTCTGTAACTCCTGGTGTTTGCCATGTGAGCATTGAGCCATCACGCTGGACCCTATAACTCTGCCTTTCAAATAAAAATATATCTTTTAAAAAGTAAGCAACTTACACATTGGAAGAAAATAAAGGTATCTTACAACTGCCACAATTTAGTTTTAACTGGAAGATAAATCCAAGTAATATTGGCACACTGCATATGGAAGGACTCCTGGCAGTAAGAACACCCTGACCCTTCTACATGGGCGCTATAGTTTCTGGAACACCTGTTTGACTACCACATTCCACTGCCTGATAGAAGCAGCAGCAGAGTAGTGCAACTTCAACATACAGATTTCTCTAAAACCAAGGTTTTTATTGAATCAAATGTAAAGGTTATCTCCCCCCCCCCTTTTTTAACTTAAGGAGACAATCAGGTAACAAATATATCATTTTAGAGATGAACGACGTTTTTTTTTAAGATGACCACACATATCCCAAGAGTCTATGGCTTTCATGCGCAACACCATGTTCTATTACATGGCTGGAAGAATATCCACATAGTCTCAATTACTTGATCATCTTTCTTCTCTCCTACTTTCAAGACCCTAGAATGAAAAAGCAAAACCTCGGGGCGATAACAAGCAACTGCCTGATAACTGCTCCTTTAATCTTCACAACTCAGGTTAATTGCGGCTTACCTTGCTTACCACAACAGACGTATGAGAAAACATAAACTGAAGCAGTAGCCTGCTACTGGAAGTGCAAGAGTTGAAGCTGAATCCAGTCAAAGCTCAGGCTCTTTTCAGCACACTGGTTCTCACAGTGGCGTCCATGACCCGTTAGTGGACACCAGGACTCTCTCAGGGGTCAACATTATTATCAGAAGACCACTAAGGCTTTCGTTACCTTTTTCATGCTGACATTCACAGACGAGTCTAGCGCAACGGAGGGGGGAGCTGCCGGCAGCTGACCACCAACCGAAGCTGTGGTGCTGCATCATACGGTCACAGTGAGGACTGCCTCACTGCCGCTCACTGGCTATGAAACAACTGCCAGTTTCACCTGAGAATGCCCTTGGTGATACTGTAAACATGGTACCACATGCCAACCGCAGCCTCCAGCCCACGTTTAAACACTACATGTGGGAAGTACTCACACAGACCTCCTGCTGCACACAAAGGCAGCAACTACACAACTGCAATTGTTTTAAAGATTTATTTATTTTATTGGAAAGGCAAATAGGCACAGAGGAGGAGAGACAGAGAGGAAGATCTTCCGTCTGATGATCCACTCCCCAAGTGACCACAGCAGCAGGTGCTGCGCTGATCCGAAGCCAGGAGCTTCTTCTGAGTTTTCCATGCGGGTGCAGGGTCCCAAGGCCTTGGGCCATCCTCACTGCTTTCCCATGCTGCAAGCAGGGAGCTGGAGGGAAGCAGGGCCGCCGGTATCAGAACCAGTGCCCATATGGGATCCTGGCATGTTCAAGGTGAAGACTTTAACCACTACGCTATTGCACCAGGCCCACACTGCAATTGTTTGAGTTGACAGCTAAACTTTCTTTTTTTTCTTTTAAAGCAGAAGACCAGTTGGATGTGAAAGAATCAGTTAGCAATGACTATTCAGGCTTGGGCATTCCGCAAACAGTTTCTAAAAAATGATAAAAGCAAGTATGTTCTTTCATGGAAAATCACTGTATTTGTAACCAATTAAAACATTCAAGCTGTAAAAAAAAAAACACAAAGATTGGCATCGACAATCATGAGACTTTCCTGATGAGATTAGCTGTGGTGTGGTTTTTGGAAAACATTATATAAACAAATGTGCCAACGTTTAGAAGACTTGCAGATATAGCACACAATATTCCAAATGATCAACACAAGATAGTGCACCGCCACGCATGGACAGAAGTGTAAAGTGCAGCACTGATGGCTAGGGTGAGAGTAGGAAATCTACTGATAGGATTTCAGTCCACGCTGAAGTTCTTAAAAAAGACGACCACCCGTCAAGTTCTGGTGTAGTATCAAACAAAAACGTCTCTAATTATCTGCAAGGCTGTAAAACATTTTCCTTTGTAAAATGTGTGAGGGTGAGTTCTGTTGACATGCAACAGCTTACACGCAGAAGCACACGAGAGAGGCACCAGCACTGAGGAGCAGCGAGCATGTTGCCACCTGAGGACCAGCACTCCATATTAGCTGCTATACTCCCAGTCTAACTCCCTCCTGTATCTGGGAAGGCTGGGGCCCTGTCACATGCGTGCAAAACCCAGAGGGAGCTCTAGGCATCTTACTTCAGTTTGTACCAGCCCCAGCCAGTGTAGCCACTTGGGCAGTGAACACCTGCAATGGAAAATGTTTCTGCCTCATGCACTCTGCTTTTCAAGTAAACATTTCTAATGTGCACAATGCAGCTATCTTCTGTGTATCAAACATCAGACATTTTAAAACTATATGGAAACTCTCCATAAATGTCAGTGTGGCAAGCAGCAACTAAAAAGTCTTACCTTTTGTGATAAGCACTCTTATTTATATCAATATTTTTATTACCATTCTCATTTCTCACACTTTCGCTCATTTTAACGAACTCTAACTCTCCATCTTATTCCCTATGGACTTTATTTTTAAAAAGATTTATATAAAGAATTATTTACTTACTTGCCAGTCAGAGTTAAGAGACACAGATGTAGACACAGGGCTCTTCCATCGGCGGTTCACTCCCAGATGTCCACAACAGCCAGAGCTGAGCCAGGCCAGAGCCAGAGCTAGAGCTGAGCCAGGCCAGAGCCAGGCCAGGAGCTTCAATCCAGGACTCCCACATGGGTGACAGCCACCCCAACACTTGGGTCATCTTGGCTGCTTTCCCAGCCTATCAGCCAGACAGGAATTGGAGCAGCTGGGACTTGAATCCCTGTGTACGCATACTGCTGGTGCTGCCGACAGCGGCTTTACTTGCTAGGCCACAATGGTGTTCCTTCACTTACATTTCTAATACAGGAAATATCAATACATACAATTCCACAAGAATAGATGATCTTCTATGAAGTTCTCTAAAAGTATAATTTTTGAGACCAAAAGGACTGAAAACTGCTGCATCAGATAATGCTACCTGTATTTGATATTTAAAATGTTAGAAAACATCTCTGTAACAGATTCTTCTCTAAAACCAACTTTTAAAAAATCACAGCGATACTGATCAGGATCACTTAGGCAGCCTCAATCCCATGGTTGCAGGCTGCCCAAAATGAAATGCTTGCACACAAGTTTCAAATGAACAGGTATGTCCAAAAGCACCTTACCAACCTAGGGAAAAAGGCTAGGAAGAGAGCACAAGTCACCTTAAAGAAAAAACAAACAAACAAACTTCACTCCAGTGACGTTCAGGAATGCTAGTGCCTCCCTAGTTACCATAGAAGGCAGACAAACATACTCCCCGACAGGTAAAATCCAGGATATGGTTCTAATTAGTAGTAAGAATTATCCCTGACATTACAGGAAAAATGGAAAACGCCTACAACTAGCTAATTAGGTACAATGTTTTATGGCACTCATCATGAAGACATTATCCTATCTTTAATGCTAGAATGAAGAAAACTTTGGTGATCCAGGTATTAGACTTGAAAGGGAACAGTAAAAAGGAGAAGGAGCGACTTATATCCCTATGAGAAGATGCCTAAAAGTGAGTGCAGTATGGATGTTATTTGTTCTGGCAGACAGTTGAAGGCATCTTCAATAAATTTATGGGAAATGCATATTATGAAAAAAAAATAGTTTTCAAAAACATTTGAAAGTTTGGTACCAGCATGGTACTCTAGTGGCTAAAAGTTCTCGCCTTACATGTGCCAGAATCCCATATAGGTACTGGTTCACATCCTGGCTACTCCACTTCCCATCCAGCTCTGTTTGTGGCTTGGGAAGGCAGCAGAAGACTCAGGCCACTTGACCCATGTGGGAGGCCTGCAAGAAACTCCTGGCTTAGGATCAGCTCATCCTTCGCCCATTACAGCCATTTGGGGAGTAAACCAGTGGGTGGAGGATCTCTCTGTCTTTCCTTCTCTTTCTGTAAATCTGTTGTGTCTTAAAAGAAAGAAAAACGTTTATCTTTAAAAGCTAAATGTGTCTGAGAATTAAAACACCACATCAAGAAAAAGTCAAATTACATATTTTTGAACCTAGACTACCAAAAAACACTGAAAGCTGATGAGTCTTAGCAGTTGAAATGGTATCCATTAGAACACAGAACTGCTGGTACACTAAGGAAGCTCAGGCCTGGAGACAGGAATTATAATGAAGACATCATATGTCTTATTTAGGGTGGCATTAAATCAAACTTATCTTCAAGTAAGCTATAAAAGCTAGTCCATTAATCTCATTGGATTCTGTACTTGCAAACGGTCAAAATGGCAAATTTTACACTTTATATGTTTTATCACACTGTAAAAAATTAATATTATACTGTATACTTTAAAAAAGTGTATTTATTTGAAAGAAAAACAGAAAGAGAAAAGAGAACATGAGAGCGAGAGAAAGATCTCCTGTCTGCTGACTCACTCACAAAATGCCTGACACATGTAGGGTTGGGCCAGCTAGGAGCCAGAGACTCCATCCACGTGCCCCCTCTGGTGGCATGGACTCGGACAGTAGGGCCATCAATCTGCCAGGATGCACCGGCAGGAAGGAGTATAGGAAGTGGAGCAGCCAGGTCTCTAAGCAGTGCTGATATGGAATGTGTGTGTGCAAGCAGTCTTTGCTTTCAATCTAGCTTCCTGCTAACGCTCATCTTGAGCGCAGCAGCAGATGATGACGGAGTTCCTGGGCCAGCCTTGCCTGCTGCGGGGGTGAATCAGTGGATGGAACCTCTCTGTCACTCTGCCTTTCAAATTAATACAAACACACACACCCTCAACCTACAGAAGAAAAACCAACACCACCATACAAATAAAAAGTCGCATACTTGGTTTCTTTAAGCTTATTTAATATTTGAACTCTTATTTTCTATTTTCCCAGACCCCAGAAAACAGAAAGTTTTTAGATTACCAATATTTTGTTCCAGAAACATACAGCCTTATGAGCTAATTCATAAAAGAGCTATTTTACAAAGGTACATCTGGATAATTAGAACAATAAAGTCTTTTAGGCATTTCAAAATGTGATCAGTAAAAATACATGATTATTAATAAAGTTTTTAAAGATAGTTCCAGATTTTTCTTTAAAGCAATTTCTGTTAAAGAGTACATGATTGTATGGTGAACAAGGAAAATAAAATGTTCTAGTAGGAAGAGGCTTATTAAAAATAACCAACAATGTGCACATTACAGTCACTGTTTTTGCAGTACATCTGCTTAGCAGTTGGCACCTGGAAATGGTGGGGAAAGCTTCCTTCTAGGAGGTACGTTTTTTTTTCCTACCAATTTACTATCAAAATCCTTGGTACCAGTGGGGAAAACCTAAGGAATGACATGACACAAAAGCAACTCTTTTCTGAGGAAAGGACAGTTTTTCAGGTCTTTTTGAAAAGGGGGCAGGGAGGGGGAGATGTCAGAAAATACATGATTACAATACAAAAACTGTAATACAAGAGTGAAATTTTCCTAGCCAGCAGTAAGCTGACTGTAAATCCTGCTAAATTTGTATTTTGAAGTCCTCCTATGCACAGTTTTCAATGCTGCCCTCTGTAATATACTGGGAAGGAAACATTGACCAAAGCTCTAGTGACTCAAAGCAACATCATAACCAACTACAGATTGAAATATGGAAGTCCCGTGTAACACACACAATTCACTAACATCAAAGATGGGGGTTGGGGCGAGTGGAGAGTATGCAAGTAACATAACTCATAGCAAGCATAATCATTTTCTGTTGCTTTTAAAAACAAGGGGAAAAAAGCCCCAAACTTTTCTTATCACAATAGCTCCTCCTTCACCTCCCAGAGAATGAATAAATAACATTATAAAGGAGATTTGTCCTTTTGAACAGTCATTAGAAGCTGAAAAAAAGAAAACCAAAGGCTGAGGAAATGTAAGTTTACCTCCCATACAATATAGTATAATCAATTCCAATTTGAGTTCTAAAAGCCAACACAATTCAAGTAACCCAAGTCAGCTGATTTTAAAGCATGCAAAATACATGTCTCCTAGAGTAATGAGCATGATTTTAAATTATAGCACTTTGGTGGCTTGCTGATTTGCCTTGATTAACTTTGTTCTCTGAAAAGGAAGGAGACACTCCAAACGTAATTTGCCACTTAACAGCAGAGGCCCCAGCAGGATTGCAGTGCCACAGGGGATCCCTCAATGGCCGAGACACAGCATTCTTGCTCTGGGACAGCTGCTTTGCCCACTGCCCCTGCATTTTTTTAGACTCATATTTCTAGTCATAGAACTCTGAGAAAACTACTTTGATGGTAACCAGTCTCAAAGACAGGATGAATATCTAATCCCAGAATCCTGAAAGGGAGCTAATAATATGGAAGCCAAATGGACGTGACTAACAACCAAACTGAAATGGAAGGCATATGTGGCAAGGTTATGAGGGGAGAAAGGAAGAAGTGAGGCTAGTAAAATAAAAACAACTCCAAAAATTTTGGGAGTTTTTCAAAATAAGACTCATCTTGAGGCACCATTTGAAAATCTAGTTATGAACTTATTTGGAAGTACTAGAGCCATGGTCAAATATTTTTCCAGTTAGTCCTGTTAGAACTTTGAGGAAAGGTTAAACTGCAAGAAAAGAAAAGCAAGCAGCTGCTTAGGACAAGATACGGACTAATCTAGAATAGAATCCAAAACTTTACTAACCTACAAGCTTCTTAACTGAGTGTTAGAAAATTATGTAATTATCCTGTAGTGTCTGAAGTTAAGGTGAAAGTTCCATTTTATTCACCTTTCTCTAACTGCCACCTGATGGTCTTAGTGTTAAGTGGCCACAGTGTTAATTCTGGTGGGTGGGGAAACAGAACACTTTTTCCAGCAGCATAGGGTAAGCAGTTGGCTTCTACTTGCTTATCATAAGAGATATACAAGATTCCAACTTCCATGTTTCACATATATATTAGCTTCTAATTCTAAAACTTTTTATTTGATTCTGAATTAAATTATACTTTGGCCTATAACTTGAAATAGAATTTCAATGTATAGATGAGGTCCAAAGATCCCATCTATGGAAAAACACCAACTTTGAAAGGACAGAAACAGGAATCTGATGCAGACGGGTGAATCTGTTAAGTTGTAGTGGTGTTTATGAAAACAGTTAGGATTCCTTACCACTTATGGCAAGAACAACTTTTTTCCTCTTTTTACCTGCAGGAAAGAATAAAATTAGATCCTACTACCACGGACTTCAGAGGGCACTACTGAAAGTTGTGAACAATGGTGCACTCCTCATTCAACCACAAAATTGACAGATTTCATTTGACAAATGTTTTGAGTTGGAAAAATACTCAAAGAACATCTATGCTTAATGCGTGAAGAAAACCACAGAAAGCCAATATAAATGAAGGAGTCTCAAGTTACAATTCTGAGATATTTATTCTCTGTTGGACGCTGCCAATACTACCATTCATTCTACAGCAGGCAGTTGCCAACATCTTGCCTGCGGTGTCCAGTGTATGCTCTGGTCTGCAATTTGGAAGGTCAGTCAGGGCCCAGTGTGGAGAGCTACAGCAATGACGTCAGAGGAAGTGCTCTGGAGTTGGTGAGGCAGTCTGCCTGCTCCACCGTTATCTGTCCACTCTGTCCTGGGCTCTCCTCTTGATTCCAAGAGCCCTTTGGCACCATCAGTGCAAAAGTTAAGAGTCAAACCTCCAGGTACTAAAGTTTTACTGGCCTTATAATCAGCAGTACCCGCAGCTAACAATAGCCATGGTTCAACTCAGTAGTGATTCAGTTAGATAACCCCCAAACTTCACCCACTCCTATCCCACCCTTCCTTAGCAGCCCCCACCCCTGCTACCATATGAAGCATTTCCATTGGCTTGCTTACTTCCTGCTCAGTCTGCAGGGATAATTTTACACAAGTGCCAAAGTGTAATGTATAATTATAAAAATGAAACAATACCAAGAATAACAAATTTATAGTCAAGAAAATAAAATTTGCTTTCCTCTCCCTCCCAACTCCCAACCCTCAATAGAAAAGACAACAGAAGAAAACACATCCATTTTCAAGTGCCTGTTATTTAGTACATTGAGGATTCCTGTTAAGTGAGGGGTTGATCCCAGCTACAGGGAGGAGGTGCTTGCCTTAGAGTAGGATGGAAGCGCATCTGCTCTCGGACCACCTGGGCAGCACACAACTCAAGTCCTTTGCACAAACAAGTCACAGGGCATACTATGCAACCTGCAGAAAAGCAGCCTAGTGGCCAGCAGAGGGCATGGAATACAGTTCAGTGAAGGTAGGGTGTTCTTCCCTTCCTCTTCTCACCTTCTTTTCTTCCAACTCTTCACCCAAACTTCAAATACCCATTCCTGACCTCTTTGCTTCAGGAGCAACTGATCCTTGGGTGTACTAAATACAAAACTCACTACTCAATGAAAATAAAATGAGGCAAATAAAAATTAAAATGTGCTTTCAAATACGGAATGAAGTCAAATAAATACATCTGATTTACTTTCTTAAGTCTAAGTACAATTTCATATCCTACACCCAAAGCTCTATACATTTGGTTTTCGTTCTGAATCAAAATGAATTTCCAACAGTGAGGAGAGTGAGAGAATGGATGCCCTCTCCCTGACAGACTAGTGCAACTGCCAGACTGTGATGAACAGTCCAACTGTGGGCACCTTGGACATAGCCAACCCGTGGCTGTTAACAGGCAGATCCTCCGTCACACATTCTCTCTGCATCCACACTTGGAGTCAGGATGTGATGATACAAGGCTGGTGCTCAAAATCCAACAACCTGTGGTCATCTCCAGGACACGCAGCTCTAACTTTTATCTGAGAAGAATAAAGATATGTGGAAATCAGATTAAGAACAAATAAATCAACACTGCAAAGAGTCCCTATGAAATATGTGGGCATGGCTCCATGACTGTTATTGAATCAAAACAGCCCCTCTGGAAAGAATGCAAACAAATGACTACCATCTGCTGATGAGAGGAGATGCTGATCTCATGGTCAGGGGCAGCAGAGAAGCATGAGACCAGAAGATGATCCATCCTCTACTCTAGGGGTCACAGCAGCATGTCTACATCTCACGTGGCAACTGCCATCTACCAGGTTCCCCCAGCACTCTGCCTTCTGCTTCTAAGAAGGCTGGGAGACACAAGAGGGGTGGCATGGGAACTGATAGCTGCAGTTCCTCTTGGACAGGAAGAGCAGTCAGCAGTCAAGAGCCTCTACTTGACAGATGATGCTTAGAGACAGCAATTCTTTAAAAACGGAAAAGAAACATAATCTCAGAAAGTGTTCCCTTTAAGGAACAGTGAATATTCATGCAGTGGACTGTCAGGCAAGAGGAGTCTTAGCTTTCGGATCCCACACTTTCCACATACCTGAGTGTTTATCTGTGAGGGCTGATCCAGCCAGCCTTTGGCAAAGAATGGTGTAACTTTCCTCCACCTTCTGTAAAATAAAACCCATACATTTTTCAATTAAACACCATGGCAAAAAAAAGAGCTGAAAATACACCCCCCTCTTTTTAAAATTATAGGCACATGCTCCCAGATTTTGACATTAACAATGAGCATTTTAAGGGGGCAATAAATTTCATTTTGTTTATTTCCCCTCTGAGTGTATAAATGTCCAAGAGATGATCAGAAAAGGCGATTCTTACACTCTAACAATTACCCTAAAAATCACCCTAAATCATGTGACACAGACAGCCAGCCTGCCCACAATGACACTTTGGTTGTCTCTTCTCATCAGTCACTAGATGATGTTACACAGAGTCCTTCAAACAGAGGAGATGCTAGCATGCTAAGTTAAAAGGCTAAGAATACTTTAAAATCTGTCCCTAGAGGCAGGTATTTGGTCTGGAGGTTTAAACATCAGTTGAGATGCTCACATCCCACTCTCAAGTCACTGGGTTTGACACCTGACTCCAATTCTTAACTCCCAATGCAGAGCCTAAGAAGCAGCAGGTGATGGCTCAAGCACCAAGGTCTCCGCACCCACATGGTAAACCTGTATTGAGTTCCCAGCTCTCAGCTTTGCCACGGTCGGGCTGAGCTATTGCAGGCATTTGGGGAGTAAACCAGCAGAGGGGAACTCTCTGTTTCTGTCCCTCTCAAACAAACCAACCAACCAACCAATAAGTAAATCTGTTCCCAAACCTCTCAATTAAGTGACATTAAAAAAATGTTTTGAGCTGTAACAGCTGTGCCCATCAAGGCAACCTTGAACAAATGGTGCTTTTCTCAGAAACTGTTACATAAATAAGCTTTCAGGTAGTCAGACCTTTAATTATCAATTTATAAAAATTCCATCCATACTCAGGTTTTAGATTACAGGAACCACTGAAGCCCATTTCTGTCTGTCATAGCATCTGGGAAACTGCCAACTTTGCCTAATGAGTCACAGGTAATTAATAGATGATAGTAAGGTACAGCGTTTCCTAAGACTAGATTCTTAACTATACAAACCCCACTTATCCCGGTCTGATGTTTCTATCATCCCATGTAGGCCAGCCAACCACCCAGGGGCGTTTTTAGGTTCTTAAACTTATCAATTTACACAAACACACCATTTATAGAGCTACACCGTTTTCTGTCACAAGAAAAATTAATGCTGATCTGCCATTTTGTCCAAGCCTACTTATGGATATTAGTTACAGCAAACACAAAGATCTAAAACCTACACAAAGTCATGAACACTGGCATTTCGGGAACTCTGTACTTCCTCTCTGCTAAATGTACTTCATTATCAAGTCCTAACATGTTGACATGTGTGAGGTACCTTTAAGTGTTCAAGGTCAGCCTCTATTTTATGAATGTACTCCATGATCTGGCTGTGTGAATCTGTACAAGACAGAGGACTCTGGATCTCAAAGCAGGAATCCTCCATAGCTCCCCAGCGCTGCTGCATCAGGAATTCCGGGCTGAAGGGTGAAACAACCTCCTCAGAACGAGTATTCTGGGGAGAATCCTGCTGCGGGTAGGGGGAGTCCACAGAGGGCATGCCTGTGGTGGGCTGCAGGCCGAGTGAGGAGGCGACCTCCTCGTCTGTGGAGCTCTCCTGCATCAGTTCATAGCCATCAAGGAGCAGACAGGTTCCTGTCGACAGAGACAGAGCAACTTCAATGAGATCAGTGCTGCCCTCACAAAAAGAAGCAGGATGCTGAGACTTGGACAAGCTGGCAAACAAGAGGAAACATCATTAGTTCCCAAGTTTAAGTACATCAGAATTCTCTCACTTCAGATTAAAGATAAACTTAGCCAGTTTTTATGGCAATTTCTGAGTAATTTTGTGAATTTGCATTCTGAAAGTTTAAGGCTGGAAACAACAGTCTCTATATGATCCTGCTACCATTTCTCCTGCCAGTAACCTCCTCCACCTCAGAGAACTACAGAACCTAAATACAGAAACCTCGCTACTAATGCTCAGCCCACCCCGCTCTCCACACAAACTCTATGCTCAGGTATCCACACGGTTTTCTCTAAGGACTAAGAGCTCTACTGGAACACTACCTCAACAGAGGATCCTTATTGGCTTCCGTTCCCTTACTCTGACCCAGTCTTCCTCCTAGTTGCTATCTGATGTCAATTATTTATTTGTCTATTTACTACTACTCCTTTTCCTCCTAGTACTTAATCTTAATGAAAGTGGAAATGTTTTTCTCCGTTTTACTCACGGTCACGTATTATAGCAACAGGATGAAGTCTGATATACAGCAGAGTAAATATTTACTGAATGAAGGAATAAATACTACACACACACACACACACACACACACACTGCTTCAATACCAAAACACTGAATTCAGCACACAGGACATTTAACAAGCATCAAAATCAAGTTTAAATGTGAAAGAAACTTGCCTGAGATGTGTAAATTAACATCGCTCTCTTCCTTTTTAGCTGTGCCATCACCTTCTGATGGATTATCATCACTATGTGCTTCACGGGCATCAAAAAAGTGCTCTCCACTTTCATCCAGACCCCCTTCTGGCTCTGTGGTAGGTATCTCTGGGGTCATAATCATGTGGTCCATTACTAAAATGCTACTTGCCTGGCTCTCTTGGGATGCCAGTACCACTGAATCCCGTCGAACAGAAGATTCAGTTGAAGTCCGTGCACTGTAACAAGTTGCAATGTCACCAGTTCCAGTTCTAACAGGCACCTGTCCTTCACCAGCGTGACAGTCCTTAACAGTTTCAGAGTTCCTGGTTCCGCTGTCTGCCTGTACCCCCTGAGAGGCTGTCCTCTGTCTTGGGAAATGTTGCCAATCTTCCTGAGTGCTTTTCTCAGTCAAACCCAACTCTTGGACCAGCAGCTGCTTCAGTAAGTCCACTAAAGATTTAAGAATGGGGTAAGAAAAACAGAAAGCACATTTGCAACTAAAGTCTCAGACTGCCAAATTAAATTAGTTGAATTATGAATGATTTCTGAATTAGGTATCTTTTACAAACACATAGTAAAATATTAATTTTACACCATTTTTAAATTTTGCTTTGAAAAGCGGAATAAAGCACCACCTCCCAGAGAAGACACTGGACTAGAAAAAAGCTGGCATTTTGAATATAGAAATATTTCTGCTTAGAATTCCTAAAAATCCAGTAGTTGCCTCTATTTTCTCTGTGATTTAACTAAAATAATACTCCAAAAGTGCTTGGGGTGCTGAAATACCCCGAAAGGATGTTGGCATGTTGTCTTAAACTAGGTAAGGAAAGCTAGAAGTTCTATTCTAGTAGCAGACACCACAGGCTTGGGCTTATTTTTTCTAGTTGTATCAGACACTTAGAGCATTTACGATTTATAACAACCCAAAAACTTTCTCTAAATAGCGAGAAACAAAAAAAATTTTTTTATGAAATTTTAATTTGAACAATTGTGGTAACATTGTAATTTCAAGGACTAAGTCTTTTTTTTTTTTTAATTACCTTACTGCTAATTTCTTTAGCTCAGTGAAAATAAGAACCAGCTCAATTTTAATGGCCAAAGTGCATTCACACAGTGCTAGTTACGAGAGCAATGCTAATTAAACCACTTTAACTCACTCAAACTGCTACTTTTGGATGAAACAGAAGAAACTAGATTCAAACATTTGAGACAATCCCCCTCTCTTTATCACAGTTTTGGCTTCTACCTGTTTTTTGAAGTAGCAGTTTCTAACCAGGTCTGAGTGCCTGACCCTTTTGTCTTTCTGCTTTACATTCACTTACTGAGACATGCTCTAGGGTTTGACTTTGACACTCAAATCTATCTCTTAATCACTCTTCAACGTTCCGGTGCTAAAACTCTATTCCACTAATCACTTCCTCATGAAGGGTTTTCCATCCATTAACTTAATCCCAGCATGCTTTAAAACTGAGCCTATAATCTCTAAAAAAGGGGGAAAAAAATCAAGTGCATTTGCAGCAGGAGATGACAGAGGCACTGGTGGTCCTTCCTCTTATTTCTGGTGAGAACACTTAAATTACCTTAAACACGCCCTTTCCTTTACACTCACATCCATGGATGTCAATTGTGTTAAGTCATTGTTGATTTCTTACTTTGCATTTATTCCTTTAGACACCATTTTTGTTGAAACCCTTTTACTCTGAAGCCCAGATTATTACAATTATAGCCACAGTAAACATACCATTCCAAACCTTCTATTCAAATCCTTGCACAGCTCTTAGCCAAATTAATATTTTCTCATTAGCTACTTCCTAGCTTAAAAATTTCAAATGTTTTGGGCCAGTGCTGTGGCACAGTGAGCTCAGCTGCAGTGCCTGCATTCCCTATGGGAACCAGGTTGAGTCCTGGGTGCTCCACTTCTGACCCAACTCCCTCCTAAAGTGCTTGGGGAAGCACTAAAAGATGATCCACGTGCCAGGGCCCCCCGCCCATGTGGCAGAACCAGAAAAAGGTCTCAACTCCTGGCTTCAGCATCGCTTAGCACTGGCTGTTATGACCATTTAGGGAGCAAAGTAGCAAATGGAAGATCTCTCTCCCTTTGCTTCATCTCCCTCTCTATCTCTGCCTTTTAAACAAACTTTAAAAAAAAATTCATACAATTAGGGCAATTTTCCCCTATCTTGGTCCAGCTGAGAGATGTGCTGTCTTCCCATTTAAACAGTGATTCTCAACTAGACGTGGCAGTGAATGGGGCGGGGGGAGGAGGGTAGGAGGCAACTGTGCAATGTATACATACATAAACATGTACCTAGACACGTGTATGACATAAGCCATGTGGATAATACTATAAATCCACAACAAAGCCACAGGAATATGCATGCAGTTTGGGAAACTCCTCAAAACATTATGCAGTTCCATTTTTAAAGTTTAGAAGACCCAATTTCATATTTCAAGTTCATCTGAGCTAGAATCAAGAGCACATCTATATTCCCACCCCCATTACTCATACTCCTTTAACTTACATGGTCTATCATAGGCCACTGCCTCTGTGCTTCTAGTCCTATTACTATCTTTATCAGGATGGGTTCTATTCTACTATATATCCATTTGACTCTTCAAGGCATAATCCCGTCTCCATTCTTTCTGCAGTGTCTCACTTCTCTGGTTACCCTACTCAGATCAATTCTTACATACCCACATTGTTACTATTTGAGTGTCTGTATCAAAAGGCAGGAGTGGCAGAGATATGGGGCTGCAGGAGTAGGGTGGCGAGTAGAATTTCTATCATCTTTCCCAATTAGAATCTAAGTTTTTTAAAGGGGGAAGTCACACTTTATACTTCTTGAATTCTCCCTGAATGGCTGTACACTATCCATCGCCATACTTAATAACCACCCATAACAACTTATGTATAAAACTTACAATTCCTTAGTGCATCCGTAGCCCACCGTTCTTCTGAGACAGGCAAGTACGAATCTGGGATTGTGATCTGATAATTTACTCCAGCTTCCTTTAGTGTTCCATCTGAATTCTGCTCCTTTGCAAACTGTCTCTCAGTCACAAAGAGATCATCTACCTCCGATTTTCCAGAAGTACTCAGTGAATGAGACTGAGGTTTTGATGATATTAAGGGAGCTTCTAATCCCAAATCTCTATCTATTCAAAGGAACAGAAAAGGTAGAGCATATCGTAATATAACTTTTAATATAAAAAATAACCACATAAGCTAGAGAAGTCATCTGTTAAGTAAAAAAACACAGCATTAGTACAATGGCACTCAGAAATGACTTGTCAAATTTGTTAACCTAAACTCCAAATTTGCATGACTACAAAAGTTTCAAAGTTTCTTTGCATTTCAATAATCTAACAGACTACATTTTTCCTGGTAAACTTAACAGATAGGTTTACCTGGGCTTCGCAGGCCAGTGACTGAAATGCCATGATGTTCTCCTTTTAATTTTGAAGGTTCTTCTTCATCATTGTCTCCTCTGTAAAATAACAATTTAGCTTCATGAGGTGACTAAACATCACTGTAACAAAATGTAAGTTTTCCATTCCTTTAAAAATCAAGACCACAAACTAAGTCCTACTAAAGCCAAAAAACACTCACTCGCAAGATGGAGATTCTGATAATGGGATTGGCTTTGTGGATTGCTCCTTCACTGATGCAGCCATCCTACAGATAAGGTCCTGCCAGCTTCACAAAGTTACAGAAGAATCCAAAGCACAAAAAAGAAAGGAAAACAGAAACACCTTTGAACACATTCAGAAAGTAAAACTTAAACCAGAACAAATCAGAAACTGAGCCAATCAATCCAGAAACAAACGAACTTTAAAAAAACAAACAAAAATTCCTCCAATTATGGCATCTTGATTTCAGCAATATGCCATTAATTAGATATTCCAGAACCCTTTTAAAGAATAACTTAGCACCATTGTGGGTACATTGTCTACTACAAAACTCACTTAATGCTTCTGAAAAATTTCTTAGGAAATACATTTTCAACAAAATAGAACCAAAATAAATGATCTCAATCTAGAAAGAATAAATTCTTAGCGGAACATTGCTAGTATACAGAAAAAGTGGATGAATTCCATACAGTTTTGGTTTTTAGAGTCCTATTGTAAAAACAAAGGCTTTTGGAATATTATACTTTGAAGCAATGCTACAATACAACAAGCAAGCTATATATAATACATACACAGTCTTCTCTGAAACCGTCTGTGCCACTAGTTCATAAATTTGGGCTCCATTGTCTGACATGGAGATGACAAAAAAAGCTTTGTTATCTGGAAAAATAAGACAAAAATTACTCTACCATTTAAGAGAGGTCATGAGGGTTACTTCTAGGGCCTTGAAAACAGTCTCCACACTAATCTAGATAAAGATTATACATGTTTATTTTGTAAAAATGCATCAAATTGCATTTAAAATATGTGCAGTTTATTTCTATGTTGTACATATATTTCAATAACATAAATATTGTAAAATTAACAATGATTCCACAGTAACTTTTGTTTAATGTCAAAACTTAAAACTTCTGGGGCAGGCACTTGACCCAGCAATTAGGGCACTGGTTGGGAAAACTGCATCCCATATCAGTGTGCCTAAGTCTTAGCTTCCCTCTCCATTTCAGCTTCTTAAAGAATTTACTTGAAACGCAGAGTTACACAAAGAGAGGAAGAGACAGAGAGTGAGCAACAAGACAGAGCGAGCTTTCACTGCTGGCTTGTTCCACAAATGGCCACAGTGGTCAAGACTGGCCCAGGCTGAAGCCAGGAACCTCATCCAGATCTCCTGCAGAGATGACTTTCTGTTCATTTTTCAGGTCATTAGCAGCGAGCTAGACTGGAATTGGAGCGGCTTTGAAGCAAACCATGCCACTATGGGATGCTGGTACTGTAGGAGACAGTTTTCCTGCTACAATATCAATTGCTATTCCAGGTTCTTACTAATGCATTGCCTTAGAGGCAGCAGTGACAGCTTAAGTAACTGGGTTCCCATCACCCATATGGAGGGACCAAAACAGAGTTCAGTATTTCTGACTCTGGCCTGGCCTACCCCTGATCACTGTTGGCATTTGGGAAGGGACCAAATAGATGCTGGCTTTGTCTCTCAAATAAATAAGTAATTATAAAAATCTGAACTGCTAAACACTATTTACTGTATTTACTGTATTTATTTTAAACTACCCTTTTATTAGTTAATAAAACTTTGTCCTCATGGAACCGTAATGTTTAAGAGGGTCCTTCTAGTTAGTGCCATTAAAGTACTACTTCCCAATTTACACTGATTTTTTTCCTTTTTACTATTTTGTTTATAGGAGGGGAATAAATTTTATGCATTTTATAATACAGGTCTATCAGCATGATGGTACCACCTACCTTCTTACCTACATCCCACGCTACCTCCTTTTTTTTTAAATTAACTTTTATAATGACATACTTTCAGTTCATTTCATAATCACAGACTTAACCTTCCATTCCATAAACAAACAGCAAGCAGAAAGAGGCAAAATATACCTACTTCCTTCCATTTTACCAAGTCAAAAACATACCACCCTTCTTAATGCAGATTACCTCTCAAGGCACTATCTTTGCTGGAATAAAAGACTGAAGGGATTGAATAAAAACTTCAAAATACAGAAAATGACTCAGAGAAGCTAGACATCTGAAATAATTTTGAATTAAAATTTTGTGACTCACTTTCTAACCAGTGAATACATTTCATGTAAGTTGCCCAGGAATCTAAAAGAAAAACTGCATGCCAGTTGTGCTGTTTAAGCAATGACTATCTCTTACAAGCCTATAATGAAGCTGTAGGCTAGTACTCTGCGGTGAACATACTTACCTGTTGCCACCTGGCGAACCAGCACTGTATTCAACTTAATGACAGGGCTAAATGTGTGTTTGCTATCAGCTGTAGATGCCAGAATCTTACTATGACACCTTAACACCAATCTATCATCTTGCTTTTGTAACAATACAAGAATGTCTTCCAGCAGCAATGTATACAGATCTAGAAATAAAAATGCAGGAATGGTGTAAGTACATAATGTATTTAATAACTTTATTTTTGATCAACATAGTAAATTTTCCAAATTTACTTGTACAATGACTTTTCACAATTTCATATAATTGATGTTTATTTTATTTCACAAAGTGTCAGTCTATGACTAGCAGGAAATAAAAGCAGGATTTTCTCCTCACAGATTGTTTGAGATCTACTGTTCTAAAGAAAGTTTAAAAGACTTACTAGAACACAAGAATGATGGAGACAATTAAATTATTACAAAGCCTCCTACTAAATTCTTTAGCACCTTAAATGAATACTTAGCACACTTTGCATGTAACATTATAGGACAGCAAATCTTTCAAATTACTCTGACTGCATCACTTTGGGATATGGAACATTTCTTATTTTCCTTTCTCCATGCCATCTAAAATTAATGAACAACATCAGACCTACCAATAGTTTTATCTCTATTCACTTTCCAAACCAATGGCCCTTCATGAATCATCTTCCTTTTTGTTAAGTCCAAATTCTGCCAAAATAGAGAAAATCGTGTGCAAATTATACACAAGTACTTCATTAAATCAAATTGTATATTTTACTCTTTTCAATAAATCCTTGTATAAAAGATACCAATTGCATTCAATGATCATTACTGCTATCAGTTTTGTTTCTTTCTTTTTAATTGCAGAAGTAGACAGTGAAAAACAGCTCCCATTTCTTGGCTCACTCCTCAACCTGACAGAAACCAGGAACTCAATCTAGGCTCCCATGTGGGTGGCAGAAACAGCTGCTGAAGACATCAGCTCTGTTTCCTAGTGTTTGTATGAGCAGGAAGCTGGAATACAGATCTGGAGGCACAGACAGACAGGAATCTTAGCCTGCAACTTGACTTAAAGCTTAATGTCGGTCCCTGTGTTAATGTTGGAATAAATACTACATTAAACTGCATATATTTTTCTAAAAAGGAAAAGCAACCTCTGAGGTCTAAGGCTCTAATTCCAAAGAAAATTCTAAGAAACAGCACTCATCATTGCAGGACTGCTTTTAAGTAGTAACAACTTACTAGCAAGAAATTCATCGCTTAGTGTTAGTAGCTATACAAAAATCTCACTCTCTGGAAGTTAAGGACATGCTTTTTGATAAACTGTTACCTATATCTCAAAAGTTTATAGTAAACAGCTATTAAATAAATCAGCTGTAACAACCACATAGTTTGCTGAAAAATCAATTGCTGAAAAGTTAAAATAAATGCTCAAATAATGGAACTGGTAATTAGCAAATATTTTACCATTATTCTTGTAAAACAACTTCAAGTTTTATGCTTCTGAAGAGCTTCTTGGGGAAAAAACCCCAAGCTTACTTTTATTCAAGATCTGGGAAGATACTGTAGAAAGCAGTCTTACTTTTATTCAAACTACAGAAGGTAGTGAAATGAAATAGTAATTACTATTCCTTACTAGTGTACAAATTTCTGACATGTGAAGCTAAAATAATCTTTCACACCAATCAAACATTCAAAAGGCAGAAAAAAGTCATAACTACAGATAATCTATGACACAGAGACTCCCTGCTCAGGTTATACATATTCCCCCTGATATGTTAATTACCTGCCAGGTCTTTAGTACATTTTATTTTTTAATTATGATTAGACCATCTCTCACCCTGAGCTCTTCCACATTTGGGTACTCTGACAACTTCAGATTGGAAGTATCAAGACGACGCTGATAATCTTCTAAGCGCTGTAAATTAGACAGGATGGAGCTAAGATTACTACTTCAGTCATCAATAACATTTTTTTCTACATCAAATGGATGTTTTTAATCTGCATTTTGCTGAGCTCTCTGAAGCATTAGAAGTGACTGACAACGTACTCTCTTCAAACAATTCTTCCTTTGGCTTTGGAAATACACACTCCTAGTTTTCTTCCATCCTTTGGCTGTTCTTCCTCAAACTTTTTTTTCAAACTCATTAGCATCTAATGAGTTTATGTTTATTTTCTGAACATGCAAATCATGCACACAGTACCAAATTGAAGAAGGAATGTGAGGCACACAAAGAAATGCTAAGTTTCACTCCAACCTGTCCTTTCTTCATGACCCAATTTTCTCAAAACAAATAATCATTAACACTCCACCTGGGCGATCTTTCAGAAAAATCCTTCACACAAATAATCCATGTGGAAGTAACACATAAGCCTCTACCTGGTATATGTGTGGATCCTTTTAAAAAACTAGATATGACAGCATAATATACTCATATGTGGATTCCACTGTGTATAAAACTTAAACAATGTATCTTGGAAACTGTTTCACCTTACTACATACAGAAAGCAGACATTTTTCTAAAATAGCCACATGGTATTCAACTACAAGAATGAACTGTAATTTATTTAACTATACCTTACTGATAGATATTATGGTTGCTGCTAATCTCCCATAGTAAATACTTTAACTGCATGGCCTTAAGCACTTGACCTGTACACCTACATAGTTTTATTTGTAGAACACATTTCTAGAGCTGTTGGATCAAAGTTATGCACATTTTCCTTGAAAACTGTAAAAATTCTCAAAGAAAGGTCTGAATCAATATACTGAACATCCATATACCCTCACCTACACTCTGCAAGTAATATTCACTATATCTGTTTTATTATTTATCTATGCATTTAATTCATCCTTCTACCTACCTATCAGTCCATTTATTGGATGCATTTCAAAACAAACCTTATATAGAAATATAACTTAGTTCTAAACATTTCGATATGCATATCATTAACAAAGGTTTAACATTTGTTTACAAATTTTTCAAAAGTAAGTTTTACACAATGAAGCACACACTTTTCCATGAATTTTGACAGGTATATACATTTATGCAAATCTGTATCAAGATACAAAACACTATCAGTACTCCAGAAAGTTTCCTCATACCTGTCCACAGGTAATGTTTACCCCAAGTTTCCAGTCCCAATCATTTTTCTGATAACATTAGTTTTACTTCTTAAAATTTCAAAAAAAAAAAAAGAGTTACATGCATATAAGTCTTTCAGGTCTGGTTCAACTCAGCATAATGCTTATGAGCTTTATCTGCATATCAGCAATTTATTCTTTTTTATCACAAGTAGTATTCTATATAATGACCAAACTATAGCTGGTTTCTCTCCTCTCCTGCAAATGAATTCTTGAGCTGTCCCCAGTTTCTTGTTACTGTGAATAAGGTTGCAGTAAACATCCCTATGTAAGTTTGTTGGTGGGCATTTATCTATTTATTTTTCTTCTCCTGGGTAAATCACAAAAGTACAGAATTTGGGTAAGGGGCAGATTTAGATAAGTATGGTCAAGTTTCCCTCTGTGGTTTTATTGTTTCACATCCAATACAATATTTGTTGTACTTCTGTTACCACATCCTTACCAAGATTCTGAATTCCTAGAAATTCACACCTATGTTCATGGACTAAATTATTCTTTGCATGCTCACCATCTTAAATTCCTCTTCCTCCATTTTTTTTTAAAAGATTTATTTATTTTTAAAGAAAGGCAGATATAAAGAGAGAAGGAGAGACAGAAAGATCTTCCATCTGCTGTTCACTCTCCTAGTGGCTACAATGGCCGGAACAGAGCTAATCCAAAACCAGGAGCCAGGAGCTTTCACCAGGTCTCCCACACGGGTGCAGGGTCCCACGGCTTTGGGCCTTTCTCAACTGCCTTGCTAGGCGCAAGCAGAGAGCTGGATGGGAAGCAGCCTATTCATGTTGTCTTGAAATTGTACTGCACAGTGGCTATCAACACATACATAAAATATAGGCACTATCTATAATCAGTTAAATACCTTTTTATATTGTTAAGACACTAAATCAGTATGGACAGTTATTGTGTTCATTTCCCAACCATTCTATATACCCTGTGCCTAGCAGATAGTGCATGCTCTATAAATCTTTATTTAAAGTTATTGAGCAAACAAGCAATAACAGACGCTCAAAAAAAAAATTATTCAAATACAACTCCGTATACCACTGCAAAATTGATCTGGACTCATTTTACATGAATAGCTAATAAATGTCCCCTCTATCAATTATGTGACTAGTTCCAATTATTATTTTATAGATTCCATGTAATACTAATACTCTCCCAACTTCATTCTGCATCTTTTTGCTTTCTTTTTTTACCTGCTTGTTTTCTGCCTCCTTGACAGCTTGATTTACATAATTTAAGATCTGACGACAGTGATCTGCAGCTTTCTTCACCTTCTCCTTCTCTGTGGGCCATTCTAAACACAGGGAAAAATTCAAAACGCAAAATGGAGGAGATTAGAAAAAACACATAAGTCATACAAGTGAAATGTAACTTATGGCAACATTTATAGGAATACATTTTTAACGCTGAGTTTTTAAATCAGGTCAAACCTATTCAGATTCTCTAATCATTAACAGTTGATACTTCTTATGATAGCACATTAAAGCATAAACTCTAATTTTTAAGAAAGAAATCATAGTATAGAACCTCCAATCTGAGGGTGATGCTTTAGATAACGTATCAGGTCACACTGCAGGGTGCAGGTCTCATTCATTTTTTTTTAAAGACTTATTTTTATTATTTTTTTATTGGAAAGGCAGATATACAGAGAGGAAGATCTTCTGTCCGATGATTCACACCCCAAGTGAGCAAAACGGCCGATACTATGCCGTTCCGAAGCCAGGAGCCTCTTCCGGGTCTCCGACGCGGGTGCAGGGTCCCAAAGCTTTGGACCGTCCTCGACTGCTTTCCCGGGCCACAGGCAGGGAGCTGGAAGGGAAGCAGGGCTGCCAGGATAGAACTGGCGCCCATATGGGATCGCGGGCGTGCAAGGCGAGGACCTTAACCACTGCGCCACCGTGCTTGGCCCAATCATTCATTTTTATAAGCTGTGCAAGTTGGACCGATCTCTCTGCCTATAATTTCAGTGCAGAGCTTATGTAAAATTATGTCCAGTAAGCAGTATTTTAAATAACATAATAAAAAAACCCTGAGATTTATTTAAAGCAAATGTATTACAACATTTCAACCAATAAAATTAATGAAAATGCATTATATCTACAAATATAAAGAGTAACAAATGATTAGAACACTCAAAATTGGAGCTGGGGTTGTAGCAGACTACCAGTTAAAATCGTGGCTGCTTTTTCTGATCCAGCTTTCTGCTAACACACTCAAGAAAGCAACAAAAGAAGGTCCATGTGCATGGGCCCCTGTCTCCCACACAGGAAACACAGATGGAATTCCAGGATCCTGGCTTTGGTCTGGCTTAGTCCTGATCACTGTAGCTATTTAGGGGTGAACCAGCAGGTGGAAGTTCAACTTGTCTCTCTCTCTTTTTTTTTTCTTACACCCTCTCTGACTGTCTGCCATTCAAACAGATAAATACATTCTTTAACAACAGAACATTCAAAATTATAACCCTATAAATATAGCCCCAACTATAATGGACATGCACACAGATTTTTAAATTATTTATTCATCTATTTTGTTTAAAAGGCAGAGAAAAGGAGAGAAGGGAGTGGAGGAGAGCAGGGAACAAACACATGTGCTCCTATCCACTGATTCATCCCCCAAATGCCCACAAAAGCCATGGTTGGTCCAGTTCAAAGACTGGAGCCAGGAACTCAACCACTTGGCCATCACCTGCTACCCACCAGGGTCTGGATTAGCTGGAAGCTAATTTTAACCACTCCAACAGACACCTGCCCCCAAATATGCATGTTAAAGTGTAAATATAAAGATGTACGAATGTAAAATCACTTCTGTTACCAAGTACCAAAAGTCAGAATTTTCCAATTATGAATTGAAATTCCTGAACGTAAGAAACAGGAGTTAGGCTCAGCACAGTAGCCTAGTGGCTAAAGTCCTCGCCTTGCACACACTGGGATCCCATATGGGCACCTGTTCGTATTCTGGTTGTTCCACTTCCCATCCAGCTCCCGATCTGTGGTCTGGGAAGGCAATATAGGATGACCCAAAGCTTTGGGACCCAAGCAGGAGACCCAGAAAAAGCTCCGGACTCCAGATTGGCTCAGCTCCGGCCGTTGTGGCCCACTTGGGGAATAAATCAGCAGACGGAAGATTTTTCTGTCTCCTTCTCTTTGTAAATCTGCCTTTTCAATAAAATCAATAAATCTTAAAAAAAAAACACAGGAGTCTGATTGTATGAAATTATTAACAAGCTTTAACATCAACAGAGAAACTCAAATCCATGTTTTAGAACAGCAGAGTGTGGAAATAACAAATTAGTTCAGCTACATAAAAATATAGATAGAAGCCATCTCTTCAACTCAAAACAAGCTTCTTCAAGGCAAATGTAACATATAATAAAAATCAGCAAACTTTTTCTATAAAGGGCCATATAACAAGCATTTTTCAGGCCAGATAGTCTGTGTTATGTTTACTCAATTCCACTGTCATAGTGAAAAAGCAGAGATAATGCACAAACACAGGATGTGTGATTGTATTCCAATATAATTTTATTTATAAAAACAGGAAGGTTGGTTTGGTCAACAACCCATAGTCTGTCAAACTCTGTATTAGAGCCACCAACACAATACATTGCACCAAACCATGTGAAGAGTGGATGCTAGAAAAGCTTGCTATTGTATTTGAAAATCTGATTTCAGACATCAGATCATTGCGAAAGGTGATGTACCAGGACATTTTTGTTCCTGAACATTTTTGGAAAAACAAATTATTTGACATGCAGAAACACAGAGGCTAAACAAGTGAGTGAGAGAAAGGGAAAGGGCTAGAGAGAGTCTCTCATCTATTGGTTGATTCTACAAATGCCCAGAATAACCAGGGCTGGGTCAGGCTGAAGCCAGGAACCAAGAACTCAGTCTAAGTCTCTCATTTGGGTCGAAGGAACCTGGGTATTTGAGCATCACTTGCTTTCACCTCAGGTGTGCATTAGCACACAGTGGGAACTGGGAGCAGAGCTGGTACTCAAACCCAGGCACTCCAGTAAAGGGTGCAGCATATCAAGCAGCATTTTAACCACTGTACGAAACATCTACCCCTATCCTCAGATGTCAAGCTTGACTTCAGTGAGCAGCTGTACCTGTATACTTGGCAATGTTATCCAACAGAAGTGGATATTTTGTAAGCCTCTGCATTTGAGTGGGAATGATATCCTTTAGCTGAAGACGACGACACAGAGGATTACTCTCAGCATCCTAAAATGAAAGTAAAATAAATTAATCTATAATTCTTATTAGGACTATGATTATCCAAATACAAACTATCTGCTCACTATAAAGTTTCAGCAACATTAGAATTCTAATTAATAAAACAAGATGTTTTTAAAAATGCTAACACATATCACTGTCACACCATACTTGGTCCTTTCACTGCATAATGGGGGAAGGAAGGAAATCTCTATCATAAGCCAAAGGCTTCTATGTTTTCGGTTTAAGCAAGGACTGATGGTATCCATGAAAGACTCTGAGAATAGCTCTTTTGAATTAACAATTTATTCAGAAAATCTAGGTACACTTTCCTGTGATTTGCATTCCCATCAAAAGGTAGCTGAACTGCTATCTACCCATTCACAAGTATACACAACAGACCACCAGGCTAATATGCTGGCTCAACTACATCAGAGGTCAGCAAACTTTTCAGTGAAGTAACACTTGGCAAATATTTTAGCCTTCACAGGCCACAGTCTCTCTCACAAGTATTCTCACACAAATAAAAGGGCTTTGGGTAATAAAGAAGTCTCAGAAAACTTGAAGGATTCCCCGTTCTCTGGTGTACCTACCCTATAAACTACCACTCCCTTGGGTGGGGATGGATCATGGGACAATGATGGCTATCACTTTTAACAGGTTAGGTTACTGCCAGTTGACTCTAGGTTGATTAAAAAGCAGATCACATGGGTGTGACTTAATCAGGTGAGCCTTAAAAAAAAATCCATGTCAAAGAGATGTATTCCTAGTGTCTAGAAGAAAGTAAATATGCCTCAGAGCCAGAGGGCAGACACAGGCACTTTCCAGGAGCCTACAGAGCTCTCAGCCATCAACTAGGAGGGAGTGGGAATTTTGGTCACATCTTTATAAGGATACATTTTTATTAAAAACCAGTTCGCTCAGAAGAGGAACTCTGAACCTCAGATGAGAGCTGCAACTCAATAGACAATTCAATGTGTAAAGAAATCCTGAAGAGAGAATTCACATAAATTATATCTGTTTTCCTAAAGCACAAAACTATGAGATAATAAATGATTAAGTGGCCTATGCACAGCAAAAGAAAACAACTACACTGTTTTGGAACAATACTCAACAAATAAGGCAATGGACAAGACATGTCCTGTGGATCACAGTTCATTGATCTTTGAGCCCTATCAAAGTATACCCCAGTGAGTACAATTGTACTTATATTCTTCTCCAGTGTAAAACCATTCTCACATTCTGACTTTAATTCTGCTTATCAATAACTTCAAGATAAAATCCTATAGCGATGTGAATTTGGCATTTACATTATTCCTGATACCATTCAAAAATTATTTTTATACCTTTCAGTAATTTAAGAGAAAACATTCAGCTTCTGAAAATGTTGGGGCAGATATAATCCTTGCAAAAGACTTTCATGAAGTTCTATAATTGATAAACTTGCGTAATAGTTTTCATGACATGACTCATTCAACTTACCTGCACAAAAGTCTGGAATCGAGAATCCTTTTTCTGACGAGCCTTGATCATTTCCAGGGCAAAAGGCTGGTTACTGCAGAAGGTGGCAGCAGCGTGTTTCAGTCTCTCTTCCCCCGGTCCACTGAACTGTGCCAAAAGTGCAAAGAAAACAACAGGGAAGGAACACTGAGCTTCTTGAAGGTCCAGGAAAACAGGAGACAAGTGCAATCTTTTCACAGTAAGTATTCTCAAGTAACTGGCAACACAAAACTACATATCTACAGGGATTACTGATTCTTCATGAAAAAGGTATGCCTCTGATACATTCAGAACTTTTCAATGTTTTCTTGCCTATCATAACTTACTACCTTTCTATTCTTTATCACTTCTAAATTAGATAGAAACATTGACATTTGGGAAATACAACACATTAAATGCCAGGAGAATGAAACTGAATTACATTTTTGTGGATACTAACATTTTTACAAGAATTATTTCACACTGCTCCAGGAAGCAAATCTTTTTACTCCAGCTTTTTTTCCTACTTACTACAAAATTACAGGTGATAACTTCTCTGGGTCAAAACAAATTAAATCACTTCTACTCATCTGTGCAGAAACTGGACATGGTTTGTAAGGGGTAGGGTTTGTGAAGCTATGAATCTCTTTTTGCCAACATTGTACTTCATGCTAATATTTTAAAATTTAATTTTGTATATGTATGGTCATAATTTTAAAGTTTCTAATAAAATACCTAACAACTGCTTCACTCATAATGCATGTGCCCTTAAAGTGTAAGTCAAATAAGCTGCTTTCTAATGCCATCTCTATATTTGTAAGTAACTGCTTTATGTTTTACAATTAGATGTTCTATACACTCTTCCATTTAAAGCCATATTTTTAATAGTTTGCACATGAAGACACTTTATAAAAAGTCATTTTGCAACGCATTTGTAGACAAATTCAGAGTATTTTTTTCTTTGAGCAGGACACACACAAGTGATGTTCTAACAGCCCTATAGTTAAATCTGAGAGCAAATTTAAAGATGAAACTGACAGCATTTTTTGATGTTAGTCAAAACACATAAATAAAAAACTAGCTGGGTTTACAGAATGTAATGTTCTCGATTTTAAGAAATTCTACTTGCACTTTTAGAAAAAGACTATATTTATAAGACGATTCTTAAATTTTTAAAGAAAGATTTCAGGGTTGGCATTATAGATAACAGAAAAAGCTGGTGCCTGCAATACTAGCATACTCTATCACTCAGCCCTGGCTGATGTGGCCATCTGGGGAGTGAACTATCAGATGGAAGCTCTGTCTCTCCCCTCTCTTTAAGGGCCAGGCTGAAGCCAGGAGCCAGGAGCTCATTTGGATCTCCCACATGAGTAGCAGGGGTCCAAGTATTTGGGCCATCTTCGTTTTTTTTCCTAGGGCAATAACAGGGAGCCAAAATGGAACTGGAGCATTTGGGATTTGAAGCAGTGCTTATATGGGATGCTGGCATCGCAAGCAGTAGCTTTACCCACCATACCACAATGTTAGCCCCTGATAAAGTAAAATTAACAGACAAAAACTAGAAACATACCCCAAAACTACTGTTTCAAAAAAGCACAAGTCAATCTACTGCTTGATCTGACAATGGTTTATGCTTAATTTATCTTTCATATTTAATAGCTTCAAACTCAAACAGTTACTATTCATTCTATTTTCTTCAACTTTTTATAAATATATCATGCTGTTCAAGAACACACTTTTCTCCCAGCTACAGGCAACTGCCTGTGTGTCTTGTACCTAGGCAAGTGTTACACTACTGGGAGAAAAGTAGCCAACAGCTAGCTGGCAGGCATTCTGAGGCTGGTTAATGCAACTTTGTGTTAACTATACCAGTGTGCCAGCAGAGTTGTCTGGTCTTTTTATTTATTTATCTTAAAGATCTGGGGCAACTAGATGCAGTACACCTATTGCAACACTGGGTGCACACCAGCATCATGTGTGTGATGGGGGTAGGTGAAGGTTGCTGTGCATTACCAGGGGCCAGGAAATGGGGATGGGTCTGAATGGGGGCTATTTCATCTATCTGAAATACATAAATGATTTCTGGGGTGTCCACAGACCAGGCCACGGCACCTGCAGGTAACTGAGGGAGGGAGCTGAGACAGGGACAATCAGAAGTGGGAATCTGAAGGGCCTCCTTGGGTCAAGCCAAAGCACCTGTCCACATGCAGAAGAGTCAGGGCTGGGGTGAGGTAGGCCAGGATAGGTTGCATTATCTGCAGGTGCTTGTCAGAGACATGTTTGGGGGTAAGTCTAGTAAGGGTACTTTGAGGTTGCCTCACCAAGACTGTAGCACCCACCAGTGCATGCAAAAGCTACAGTTCAAGCAGGCCACACCGAGTTGGGCTGTAGCACCCACTGGCTACATAAGAGCTGGGGCTGGGAGATGGGACAGCTAGGCTGCAGCACCCAACGGCATATGCAAAAACTGGGGCTGAGGGCAGGCAAACTAGGGATTTCTAGAGGTTGTCCAGACTAGGCTGCAGCACCTGCCATAGAACTGGGCTTAGGGGCAGGATAAGCCAGGTTAGACTGTAGTACCTACCACAGCTGAAGGCTATACTATGTCATAGCATAAAATGAAATGATAGGGCCTGGCATGGTAGCCTAGTGGCTGCAGTACTTGCCTTGCATGTGCCAGGATCCCATATGGGTGCCAGTTCATGCCCTGGTAGCCCCACTTCCTGTCCAGCTCCCTGCTTGTGGCCTGGAAAAGCAGCTGAGGAAAGCCCAAAACATTGGGGCCATTCACCTGTGTGGGAGACCTGGAGGAGGTTTCTGGCTCTTGGGTTTGGATTGGTGCAGCTCTGGCCATTGCAGCTGCTTGGGGAGTGAATTAATAGAGGGAAGATCTTCCTCTCTATCTCTCCTCCTTTTTGTATAACTGATTTCCCAATAAAAATAAAATAAATATTTAAAAAATAATAAAATGATAGTCTTACTCTGCAATAGAGCCAGTGCTGTAACATAGTGCATAAAGCCGCCCCCTGTGGTGCCAACATTCCAACATGAGCAGTGGTTTGAGTGTTGGCTCCTCCATTTGCAACCCAGCTCCTTTTTAATGCAACCAGTGAGAGCAACAGAGCATAGCACTAGTGACTGGCCCCTGCCACTCACGAACCCCAGAAAGTTCTTCGTTCTTGTTGTTGAACCAAATCTGCTTTGAACATTTGTAGCCATTTGGGGAATAAACCAGTGATGAAAAAATTTGTCTTCCTTTTATCTGAAACTCTGCCTTTTAAGTAAAATCAAAATCTTCTAAAAAAATCTTCTAAAAAAAAATCTCTAAAATAATATCAAAGTATGTCTACAAAAAAACAGAACAAAACAAAACAAAAAAGCTGTGGGGCCCAGCACAGTGGCGTAACGGCTAAGATCCTCGCCTTGAAAGAATCAGGATCCCATATGGTCACCGGTTCTGGTCCTGGCGGCCCCACTTCCCATCTAGCTCCCTGCTTGTGGCCTGGGAGGGCAGTTGAGGATGGCCCAAATCTTTGGAGGAGGCTCCTGGCTTTGGATCGGCACAGCTCCAGCCATTGTGGCTGCTTCAGGAGTGAATCATCGAACAGAGGATCTTCCTCTCTGTCTCTCCTCCTCTCTGTATCTATGACTGTGCAATAAAAATAAATCTTAAAATAAACACTTTGGTAAGGGCAATACACGTCATGACATGACAGTAGGTATGATTTCTTGTACCTATTCTGTGAGTCAGAGGTTAAGAAGTGATCCACAGTCAGTGAAAGAAAAAAGATGGTTGTTCCAGTCTTTAGTCTTCTAAAAAGTTACTATAGAACTACCAAAACCTTGAGTCATTTTCCCAAGCAGTGCATAAAAGGAAGAACTTTCTGTGAGCATACCAGTAAAATTTTGAGAATGTTATCTTAGGCTTTACTATTATTCAGAGTCTTTACTAAACAGTACTACTGTAAAAAAAATTAACTCAAACAACATCTCCTTAAAAAGGCTTTCTGTATGTTTTACGTTAGGTATCTGCTACATATTCCTGTTAACAATTTGTGTTCTCCTCTTTTTGTCACATTTATCATGCCTGAAATAACTAAAGCACTGACTTTACATTGATCATAAGCAGTACAAGTATGGGAGCCATGTATACCAGGATTGTCACTACATTCTCATGCCTACACACAGCACTGTCAAACCTGAAAGGCAGACAGAAAAACAGAATTTGAAAACAATGGTTTCAGTCTCTGAATTCTTATCCTTAGATAATAAACAAGATTAAATAACTCGCTTCTCCACTGTTGTAGTAATAGCTCTAGATTTATGTTTTGCAACTGTCTAACATTACACAGTAAGATTCTGAAATCTAAACAACTAATAACTAAACTTCTACATTAAATTATTTTCATCAAAATCCACTATATATTGTTTAAAACACAAATATCCAGTGTCAGTAATTTACGCAAAAAGAGGACTTAGGTAATTATCAGGAACTAGGAGTTCACACTTGGAATCTTTTTTCAGCTCTATCTTAGCTTGACAAAACAGATGAGTCTTCATATTTTGAAAGCTTAATTATTTCACCTTAAATCTGATCAGTTAGTGTCTAGAAAAGTAATACAAAAAACAAAAAAATTTTCTTACCCAGGTCAACAAATCTTCCCCAATTTGATCAATAACAGAAGTCTCATTCCTCTTTCGAACAGCCTTCATTTGTTCATTCAGCCCAACTAAAGCAAAAGATTACAATAATTAAGTTTACACTCATTTTAGGTTGAGCAACTGGCAGCACAAGTAGCTACATTTTTTAAAAAGGATTTTCAGAATAGTATACCTGCTTCTAATTTTCTCAATTATAACATATAGATATTGCAAGCTTTACCAGAAAAACAGGTGTTAAAAAAAAGTTTTGCAAACTAATATATTACATAGACTGTAGTTACATCAAATATGCATCTAACCTCAAGACTCCCATTTTAACCATGCTCAAAAACAAATTTCAACAGTGCCAAGTGATTCTGCTCACTGTTCCTCTCAAAACTGGTGTGTTCACAGGCAATGGATACAATCAATCATGCAATCAGTGAATGCCTGTGAACCCTAAAATTACCCACAAAGGCATAAAAGGCCTCAATTTGGTTGGCAGGAATTGGTAGGTGATAATGACATTTTTGATAAAGAAAAACTGAAAACAGAAAAATAGTGATCTACAAAGAGAGAGAATCCTACTGTCAATGAAGGCCCAAGATGACTACAATAAGGGAAAGCCAACAAGGTGAAAATTTTCATTACTTACTCAAGTGTTCCAAGCAACAAAATATTTCTGAAAATGGTCTCACCATGAGATAATATACAGTATATTATCATTTATAAAATACATGTATGCATACGTAATTACATGATACAAATTATATATCACATTGTAATTGATAGGAAAGCCTCAGGGTGATCTTGAGGATTCACGTTTTTCACAAGCACTAACTGTAAACTTAAATTTCTATGCTAACATTCTGTACATGAAAGCTGATTGTGGGAACAAAGGATAGAGGCAACATTTCAATCATTTATTTATACTCTATGCTCACAAAGAACTTCCAGAATGCTGTCATGGATACATTTATAAAATCCAATAAAGGTATCTCCCATAGTTTCTTTATATGTTCACAACTTTTCTGTACTGGAAATGCTAAGGGCAAAGATCAGAATAAATTTTTCTTACTATGAAGCTGAAGAATATCTTCCAAGTTAGAAAAAATCTTCCGTAGTTCTGACGGTGACAAAATTCCTTCTCTAGACACTCGCTGATAAAACACTTGATCAAGAACTTTCAGTGTTCGAACATGAGCTCTTTCCGTGTAGAACAATTCTAAACAGAAGAAAGGAGATGTGAAATGTTGTCTTAGAATGATTCCATAGGACCAAACATAATCGTCAGCTGGAATTAGATAGTGAGGGAGTTATAAACTAAGTTATGTATCATTCATGAAGTATAAAATGGCCCAAAAAATGCTTTGATTCCATGAAATTTCCCAACGGTTTGACTCTGAGAGATAAATATTAAAAATGAAAACTATCATTCAAAGCTATTTTGTACTATTTTGTACTTAAAAGTTAACACTACACTGCTGAACTCATTGTTCTGTTTATAGTAATAACCACCCACCGCAACAAGAACATTTGAGACTGTAAAGCCCCATGATCATATCTATAGCCTTAAGTCCTTTTCTGAATGTTATTTTTGTTTTTCTAAATTATGTGTAAGCCATCAAGTTTGGAGCCACACTTGTAATTTCACTATGTCTCATTATGTTGTGAGAGTGTCTATTCAGGACAGTAGAGCATACAGTGTCTATGTCACATATGTCACATACATGCTAACGTCATAATGAGCACCCAATAGGGTACAGGAAACCCTGATTCGTAGCTTTCCCATTATTAGTTATATCAGCTTAATTAACCAGTCTTTCTGGGCTTTGGCCTCCTCACTCACAACTTATCCATAAAAATAACTAAGCCTGATATTAAAATGAGGTGCAAATGCTGTAAGGTTTTTCACTTTTAAGAACTAAGATGCTAAGAATCTTTTTTAAAAATATATTTTTATCTTGAATTTTGCATTATGTGTTACAATTTCATATATGCCGGGAGTCCCCTTCAAACTCCCACCCTCCGACAGATTTTCCCCATTTTACTACAATGATGTAGTCCTTCATAAGGAATCATAATTCTATCAGTCTCTATTTAAGTGTACCCCGACACTGTTGGTACACAGTCAGAGTCCAGCACTCCATTGAATACACATATCCAACAGTTTCATTGGGAATCCATCTTTCATCTGGAAGCAGGGATGCATGTACCCCCAAGCCTGTATAAGATAGACCCCCAGTATTCCAGATGATGCTAAGAATCTTACTTACACTGAGGGTTCAATACTTTATCCTTTTGAATTATTAATAAGAATAGGAGAATTATTTCCAATTTTTGAGTTGAAGAGTTCAAGAATCACCTACCTGATTTAATATCCTTTTTATATTCCTCAAAAGGAAAAAAAAAAAAAGGCTATGCAGAAATCTAAAAATCTGAAGCAAACTCCAAGGGTTTGCTTTACTTTGATACAACTCAGTATATGTTAACAACAAATTGATTACACTCACCATTAATTACTTCTTGCCTTTTGATTTCAGAAGGTTTCAGTCCCAGTAACACTTCTCGACTAACAAGCTGCTGCCAATTAGGTGGATCTGTTTCTAAGTCATTTTCAAATTGTTCATCTTCACTTTGACTTTCTCCAAAAGCTAAGCTGTCAAACCTAATGAAAAAAAGTTAATGAGTTCTAGTTAAGGACTCAGGTGGACAATGTGAAACAGCCCAGTTTTTACATTACAGTGTATAAAGATCTATGTCTGATTTACCACAGAGCCTGACACAGTATCCTCCTGTTTGTTAAAAATATTTCAATATACATCTTTAGAATACTTATTAAGAATGTTCTTTTATGCTTTTAACAGATTTGTGTATGGAGCTTCTTTTAAAACAGACTTTAGAGAAAAAAATTGCTAAGTTTCTTAAAATGTGCCTTTATTGAAAGTTACTGCAGATTTACTTACTTTCGAAAGGGCTTTGGTGTTCCATGTTCAATCACCCTAAAATAATGGAGAAACATAAGTCAACATTAAAACAAAATAGTGATCAAGTATCTTTGTACTAAATACATTTGAAACTGGGTTTATCCCCAGCAGCCTAATAAATAATTTTATTGGATATACTGATGATTTCATATAAAGCAAACTGAAGAAAGCTTCAAATTCTAGTTAATACTAACAAGTAATAGTTCTTTCTCAAAACATTACGTAAGGGGAAAAACAAAGTTGTAAAGTTTAAGAACAGTAATGAACTTTAAAAACATGGGTGAATACAAGTTAAATAACCTCTTGGGATACCTGCACCTCCTACTGGAATGCTTGAGTTACACCTCCATTTCTGACCAGGCTTCTTATTAAGGTGCCTGGTAGGCAGCAAGTGACTTCCCAAGTACTTAGGTTCCTGTGCTGCATTTGGGAGACCAGATGGAGTCCCCTACCTCCTGGTCCAGCCCTAACTGCTGCAGGCATTTGAGGAGTGAATCAGCAGATGGAAAATTTCTTTCTGTGTGCTTCTTTACCCTCTAACCATGTCACTCTTTTAACTAAACAAATCAATGAAACTTAAAACAAAAACCAAAGATAAGCAAGTCTCCTGAGCTTCTCGAAGGAGTCACTGAATTACCTTTCTACTTCACATTCCTCCTCCTGCACTTGGTCTAATGGAGGAGGTGGAAAATCAAAGGCAGTATTGGGAGTGCGAGGTGGGCCATCCAAGGAGTCTCCAGATGCTGGGGTTTCTCCAATTTGCTTTGACCCTGAAAAATAAAACATTTCAAGAGCATTAATCCTTAATGAAATCACTGACTGGCAAAACAAAGTTAGTCCCCATAAGAGCTTCAACCTCATTAACAAGCCAGACATTCACACAGTTACAAGTTAACTAAAAATTTTTATATGTAAGAACTTTAACTGTACTAAAAAAATTATCTTTAAAATGGCATATTGAAACCCATATAAAACATGACAATAATGCAAACAGTTTAAAAGAGCACATGATAAAGGAGAAACCTTCCCCTGCTTTTATCTTTTCTACTACCTCCAGTAAACTTTTTTCGTGTTTTCAAGTTTTAGTTATTATGCGGTCCAACCCTAAATAGTAATCCCTTACTTGTTTCACTTAACTGATTTTCTTAAAATGCTGCTATGGAGAGAATTTTAAAGTTAATGTTGACCCAATAGTAGGTACCATAACATTAAATAACTTTCTTTTAAAGCTTTGTTTATTTTTATTCGAAAGACAGATATATAGAGAGGAGGAGAGACAGAGAGGAAGATCTTCTGTCCAAATTTCTTTCTCCAAGTGACTGCAACGGCCAGCGCTGTGCTGATCCAAAGCCAGGAGCCAGGAGCCAGGAGCCAGGAGCCAGGAACCTCCTCCAGATTTCCCACACAGGTGCAGGATCCCAAGGCTTTGGGCCGTCCCTGACTGCTTTCCCAGGCCACAAGCAGGGAGCTGGATGGGAAGTGGAGCTGCTGGGATTAGAACTGGCGACTATGTGGGATCCCAGTTTGTTCAAGGCGAGGACTTTAGCCACTAGGCCATTGTGCTGGGCCAAAGAATCATTTTTCCTTATACATAGAGTTTTTCTGTTTATATTCTTTATGTCAACTAGTATGTTTGGCAACTTGTATTTACTTAGGCCTTGACTCTAACAAGCAAATTTTTCTAAGAGTTGGTGGGGTTGTATTAATTTAAGATGAAAGACCAGCAGCTGACTTGGCTTTCTTTTGCTATATGAAAATAGGTCCACTCCAGTTGAGATCTCTCTTGAGCTGGGTGAGTCCCTGGCATATTCATACTCACTGTCTCCAAATTGTCAAGTGTCAGAACTCCAGGTATTGCAACGAAGAACCAAACTCTCCCTACACAATTAACTCTACCTCCCTAAAATAGAGCAAATTTTCTTCTGGTTCTTATCACAGACTGCAGGTCCAGTGCAGTAGCCTAGTGGCAGAAGTCCTCATCTTGCATGTGCTGAGATCCCATGTGGGTGCTGTTTCATTTCCTGGCACCTCCACTTAGCATCTAGCTTCCTGCTTGTGGCCTGGGAAAGCCGTAGAGGATGGCCCAAGCCTTGGGACCCTGTAACCACATGGAAGACCAGGAAGAAGCTCCTGGCTCCGGCTCAGTTTAACTCTGGCCATTGTAGCCACTTGGGGTGTGAACCAGCAGATGGAAGATCTTCCTCTCTGTCTCTCCTCCTCTCTGTAGATCTGACTTTCCAATAAAAATACATAAATCTTAAAAAAACACACAGTATGCTTATACACATACTCTATAATGCAAGGATTAGAAGCATAGCTAATAGAGCTGTTTTGTTATAAACCTTCAATTAGTTCATCCTTTTCAGCTGTATCTCTTATTCATAACCCCCTCATGTAAAGTTGCATCACAAAGTCTCCGCAGGCAAAGTGCGTTCCTCCTTCAACTACTTACAAAAATTACAGGCTCTGCTTCCTTAGGTTGTTTTGCCCATCAAATAACTTGTCTACTTTTAATTTCCTGGATAAATATCTGTTGGAACATCTTATATGCTGGTAACATACTCTATTCTTCTAGCTCCTTTCTTTTTATGATTCCTGTTTATTCACTTATCAAGTAAGTTTTTTATTTCAATGAATCCTGAGGAGCCCTGAAATACCAATGCAAATTTATCTGACATCTTCAGAATTCCACTATTTGAAAAAAAATCCCCAGACTTTTCTCAAAATGTTGGCTTTCTTCTTTAACAAAAACCTGTTGATTCTGATGGTTACCTCCTCCAGTAAAGGTCTGTCAAACAGAAGTTAACATTTCTGCCATATACTGTGCACTTATAAAAGTACTTGCTCCACTGAAACTCTCAGAATACTATCACATGTTCTCCCATTCCCAATAGTCATCCAATAACATTAAGCCTTTGGTTGCAGTCACATTGTTTTTGTCTCTGTGACATAAATCATATTAGGTGATCTCAAAATCATTTATGCTAAACTGTTTCAACCCCTGGCTCTTCACTTTTATACCTAAGACCTTCCTTTATGTTGCCTTAGTGATCACTGCATAGTCTCAGACTTTGTGGTCACCAGACCTTGAACCGCCTCCAGAACCAGTGATATAGACAGAAGTCCTCTGAATTCTCCAAATAAAACCAATTCTCTCAGCTCACTTGCTTAAGAGATCCCTTATAACAAACATGAAAAATATGGTATTGAGCTTCCAACAGTACTCTTCAAATTGTCTTGCTCTTTGCAACAGAGTCTCATTTTCAGGTAATAAATCCTGACATTCACGTATACTCTGCATCTTACGAAATTTCTCTTCCCTATTTTGTTGTTTAGACCACGGGTGGGTAATGTCCAGACTCAGGGCTATACAACACCCTCTCAATCATTTGGTGTAGCCCTGTCAAGGCCACTGCAGGCAGGACTTGAACTCAGCAAGTCTGAAGCAGCCTAATTTTTAAATTGCAAATTAGCATAGCCTGCCAGTGATGCTACAAATATCCAAACAGCCCTTGGCAGAAAATGGTTCCCACCTCAGGCTCAGATAAATTCAAATTTCTCTCAGCTGGTTTCCTATCAAGAGTCAAATAAAATAAAAACCTCTAATATTCAGATTTTTTATAAGTCTTCTTTAAAACTCCTACAACTGCTCTAGCTACTGACCAATCCCATTAATGCTTCCTTACCTTTCCCTATTGGATTTAACACAATGTTTGTGTCTGTGTAAATATACACTCCCTGAAACTTAAGCTGGTAGAGGACAAGCATCTGTGAATAGATATTTCATGTTAACATCTGCAACAAAGTCAATGCATAAAAGACAGCTTCAGAAATATATTTTTGATGTAAGAGAACTAGAAATTATTACTCAGCATAGATCGTTACTGGCTATAGAATATAAAAATGTGCAAATTAAACTAAACTGTGATACGTTCTTGATTAAAATAATCTACAAACTATTTAGATTGCAGTGGTGTTCTTGCAAGCTATTGGCTCACCCGTATCATTCTCTTTTCCTCCTTCCTGGGAAAGAGCAGCCCCTGAAGCAACAGATGACACGGAATTGGCAGGTGGATAGCCAATGTCTGCTGCTTCACTTGCTAACCCGCTCTGGCGCAACTTTGTAGAGTCTTGAGGTTCAGGACTCACAGATGAGGGTGTGGATAAGTGCTTAGGGTGGCGCACCTTCTGCAGCTCCATGGCTCTGCCAACTGAACAGAGAAAGTAATGGTTAATAAATGCTAAATTGCAAAAATGCTAAAAGGAAGATACTGTAAAATAGCCTGTGAAAAGTCCTATGGCATAGTGGGCCTCCTCAAAGTACAAAAATAAACTGTGACACAGAGCAAAGGAACAGCAAAGCAAAAAAGGATAGAGGGAAGGCGAGGGGAAGGCAGAAGAGTAAGATGAGGTTAAGGCATCAGAAGTTGTGGCTAAGGCAGAGGAAAAGAAGGTGCAAAAGATAAGGATATGACAGCAATGGTGGACCTGAGGACTTGAGCAGGAAATGACACAGGAAATTTTTGAACTGTATGCGTTTGTATGTAGCTATGAAAAGGCCTTTATCTTTGCAACCATTTAGTAAGCCCCGTGCCAATTCTCCAACTCTCAGAACTTCATCACCATAAATCCACCAGAGAATACTCAGACTAATCCCTGTCCTGCTCATACCCATAATCCCCCACAGTACTCTACAGCATCTTTACTGCTGATACAATCCCACCACCCCAAATTCAAAACATCTTATTCTGTATCTCCTAGAACTTATGAAATATTCCAGCACCCCAAACACCTCTCTCAGGACTTCACTTTCTGTTTTTCAACAAGGGATACACTTGTCACAGAATTGCTCAGTGTATGGAATATTCAGTGTCACAGCATGACCATTTTCTCCCACCCCAACTATGTTAATATTTTCACATGTGGCCCTGCCTAAGATGAGAACCACTCCCATGGCCTAGTTACTTTTCCCATCCCTGCTTTTCCTGCAGCATCTCTAGTAGGCTGCTCAGGGGCTGAAAGGAGATCAGAAAATAAAGCACAACAGAATGATGGAGATATTCTAGAAGAATGGGGAGAGTAACATATGGATAAAAAGATTAAACCGAGTATGGGACAGAGAATTCACGTTTGCACTTTGTTCCACTTTAATAAGCTCAGCTTGTATGCAAACATAATTTAAAGAATCAACTGGTAGAATATACATCTGACAGAATAGCACTGATAAAGAAAAATGTTGATGACATGACAAATTTATGGCAAGATGGGTGGATTTCAATTCAGAAATAATAACATTACAAATTCAGAAAACCTGTCTGAAGGACACCTTGCTCCAGTAATTCATTCCAGCCAAACGAGCCTCTGGTGTAAACATGGCACACAGAGGCACACAGCATTTCAAACTACAACGTACTTGCACTGTTGTCATGACGACTTGGTCTCCTTGGAGGTCCCAAGATGCTAGGAAATCCTCTTCGCTTCCCTTTGTCTTCGCCTTCTCTATCTTTCTTCATACTTTGCTAGAATTCAAATACAATAAACAAGATAAGATTCACCTAACAGATTCTTTTTGCTGCTTTCAAACATAGAAATGTGAATTCAATGGTTAGTTGAAAGAAACTGGATTAAATGTTTATGAATATACACATGCACACACATACAGAGTGCAGCACTATATTATATACACCTCAAATTCAGGAAGTTTTTTAAAGATTTATTTATTTATTGGAAAGTCAGATCTACAGAGAGGAGGAGGAGACAGAGAGGAAGATCTCCCATCCGATGATTCACTCCCCACGTGAGCGCAACGGCCGATGCTGTGCCAATCCGAAGCCAGGAGCCAGGAACTTCTTCCAGGTCTCCCACACGGGTGCAGGGTCCCAAAGCTTTGGGCCGTCCTCGACTGCTTTCCCGGGCCCAAGCAGGGAGCTGGATGGGAAGCTGGGCTGCCGGGATAGAACAGGCGCCCATATGGGATCCCGGGGTGTTCAAGGCGAGGACTTTAGTCACTATGCCATTGCGCTGGGCCCAAATTCAGGAAGTTTTTTCAAATTCTTTAATGCTGACAATTTTGAAATATAAAAAGGCAGTTGTAGAACACATTTACCAGGAGCTTGCTCTAATTCATTCATTCATTCAAATTCATAATGTGCAAAGGCACTGTGTTACTAGCCAACAAATGAAGAATAATGGCTTTACAGAGCTTTACAACATTGCAAACATTAGACAAAAACACAAATAATTACACAATATAACAGGCACTACTAAAAGTATGTAAGGGTACTAACAGTTGAAGCAAGCAACATATAAACTGACATTTTCATTTTTCACATTCTGGACTTCTCTCAACACACTGAGCTTTTCGAGATCACATACTGTATCTTTTAATTCCTAATACGTTGAGCACTGACTGACTAATGAATTTTTTTTTAAGATTTATTTACTTTTCTTTCAAAGTCACAACTGCAGAGAGAGAGAGGGAGAAGGAAAGGCCTTCCATCTGTTGGTTCATTCCCCAAATGGCTACCACAGCTAGAGCTGGGCTGGTCTGAAACTGGGAGTCAAGAGCTTCTTCCAGATCTTCCATGTGGGTGCAGGACCTGGATCACTTTCTACTGCTTTCCCACACCATTACCAGGGAACTAGATGAGAAGTGGAACAGCTGGGACACGAACTGATGTCCATATGAGAAGCTGGCACTCAAGGTAGAGGATTAAGCCTGCTACAGCATTGCGCTGGACCCTGATCAACTGAATTCTAACAAGAAAAACAGCTGTCAAGTGTAAAGAAGCATGTAGACCTGAATGCTGTTATATTCCAGGTTTACCTTGATTTTTGGAAGGAATCCAATCCGACCCCGCTTATGCTCCAAATTTCGAGGTTCTTTCACTTTTACTCCCAAATGTTTCATATACATGAGAATAACATACTGCATTGTGGAACTGGATGGGAAAATTAAAAAATAAACAAACAGAAAAGAAGACAATAAATACAGAAATTAAACACTACTTCTAAGAAAGGAGTCAGTAGAATAAAAATAGCAAACAATTTCCAAAATCTCAATACTAGAATTTTAAATTAATTATGCAGAAAAATTTTAACAATCTAATCACAGCACAAAGAAAAAAAAATTCTATTCAACATGCAAAAATTAGTTCAATAAAACAGAGGCCACCAGAGGGAGACCACAGTCTATATTTCTAAGTTAAAAGAAATTATAATCTGGAGGTGGCAAGAAAAAACAGGCTATTTTGCTAAAATTCTAGGAATAAAATTCTATTACCTCTTTTCTTCTTCAACAGCCTGAGCAGTCATCCTAAAAATATAAACATTTATAAATCAAATATTAAGGTTTGACAAGTTATTAAGTTTATACAACTAAAACAGAACATAATAGGACAAAATATTTTTGGTCTTAGGTGACTGTCATTTGGAATAAAACACATGAAAGAACCCTATATTCTCAAAGAACCTACATACTTTACATGTTCTTGTCTTCTGCTTTACATGTTTTATAGCAAATATTTCCAAAGTGTATGAATTGAAACCAATAAAGACATTCACCAGTTTATCAGTAATTACAAATTTTGGCTATTCATTTACCGGCACTCAGAAAAAGAAGCAATTATCTAAAATATCACAAATTCCAGTTTACAAATTATTATGACAAAATAAGCATCCCTACACCTACAATCTAACTGTCCTAAATTTTTTTCAAAGAGTTCTTCAAGCATAATTAGCATGTCAGCAGATAGGGCATTTCCACATTTACTTCCACTACTTACAACACTTCTTCAATTTTGGCAACAATCTGCTCTGCACACGCCCGCTCCTTCTCCAGAGTGATGCGGTCCTTGTCTCGCTCTGCATCAAGTTTAGTCAATTCACTTTCTGCCAAGGTCAGTCCCATGCTACGTTTCTGCCTAAAGGGAGTAAGAGAAACTTCCTGAGGTGGCCTAGAGCAAAGCTATCCCGCTCCAGAGATGCCCCACCAGTCTCCATATAACTATGCATCTCTAGGGACAGGCAAAATGCCAGTTTTCTACTTATGGGGCTATGTCACCTGGATACCAAAAGAAAAACATCCCACAGGCAATCACTGACAAAACACCCAGCCCGAAGGATCATGGTACAGAACACAGCACTGAGCTTGAATCCTCAAAGTATATGGTTAGAATACAAGCTTTCAATTCCACTCTGGCAATTCTGATGGCCACTATTGTTTGTACAATGGGGCTAAAACAATATTGGTTTGCTTATACTAAACTAAGCATTTAATGTGTAATGTTTTGCCTCATAATGAATCTAGAATGACCACATTGGAGTTCGTTTTATCACCAAGCTTACCGAAAATCTTCTAAGTGCCTCTGAACTTCTGGGTGGACTCTTTCTTGCATAGTCTGGATATAATGGCGATGCAGCTCCTCGGGAATAAGTTCAGGTCGTCTCTTTTCTGTATAAAAAAAGAATTATTTGATACGACAGTCTATTCTGGGCAAACCTATAATTGGCAGCATGTCAATGCTATGTGGTCCAAATTTACTTAGAATATACCAAAGAGAAATCTCCACGTGCATGTCATATATTTCATCTCAGAATTTAGATTTCAATTATGCTTAAATGTGGTATAGGTTCTTCTCTTGCTGCCATTCAAGTGATCAATTAGTCATCATGTGATAGATACAACCTTTAGGGCTCAGCTGAGCTAAAATCTTTAGAGAAGTAATTCTCTCCAAGATACTGATGCTCCAAATCTTACCTAGATCCATAGAGATCTCATCAGGAACAGAAACTTTCAGATGCTAAAACAAGAGATAAACAAAGATGAAATAGCATTAAAGATTTTCCAAGATGTAGGTAAGTACTCACATAAAGTACAGATAGGATGTGGATACCCAGTATAACAAACATATCTACATACAAACTCAAGTATTCATTTAAGTTCCATAGTTATGTAATGGTCGACTGTTAAAAGCTGAAAATAAACCCTTTTCCCAATTATCACACTATAAAAGAAACATCTAGTTATTCCCATAGATGAATGAATGCTTATGTGTGACACTTTTCCAATGAATATACTAGCTTTGGTTTTGCAGATTCATTGATAATGCATTTAGTTACACATGTTTTGAGTCAATACAGGTAAAGCCCAAATGATGTGCACATTACCATGTGAAAAATTTACTGATAAAGATTTTTTATTTCATATATGTATGATGTTCACCAAAGAGACTACAATACTCCTAAATTATTGCCCTATGTAAACTCAAAGGAACTTCACAACAGTCACACTCCCAATGAGAAAGCACTGATTGATTTGGGGAGTCTTAAATCTCTAAACATCATCCATAGTCTTGCTCTTAAGGTGCCTTATAACTTAGTTCTCCTGAGCTATGATTTTTCTTTATAATAATTGCAGTTTTTGACTATACTGCTAGATTGTTGTATTTACCAGTTTTGGAAGAAAACATTTCTATTCTATACTTACAGGAATTAGCCTCGTGCTTATTTTACATTGTTTACCTATATGAACCATATGCTTCCACAATCTAAAAGATTCCTATAAGATATGAAGTTTTAAATTTGAAAATAAGTCACCATTAAAAAGTATGGGATCTCTTATATTAATTAGAATAACAGTGAAATACTTTAAAACCTTTTATCTTTAACTGAAGCCGTCAGGAAGTAAGACAAAATAACATTTTCTCCCCTTCAGACTGCTTTATTTATTTGAAATGAAGAGTGACAGATAGACACTAAGGGAATTATCTGCCATCTTGGGGTTTACAGCTCAAATGGTCACAACAGCCAGGCTGAATTCAGGAACTTGGACTCCCACGGGATTGCCCATGTGTATGCCAGGTTCTTAACACTTCAGTCATCTTAGACTAATTTCCCAGGTGCATTAACAAGGAGCTGCATTGCAACTAGAGCAGCCACAAACTAACAATAGCATGGCATTACAAGTGATAGCTCAATATACTGCACCCAATGCCAAAACCAAAATCAAATCAACTATCTAACAACAACAACAACAAAGGGCTTATTTATTTATTTATTTATTTGAAAGTCAGAGCTACAGAGAGGGAGGGAGGGAAAGACAGAGAGTGATCTTCTATCCACTGAGTCACTCAAAAGATAGCGGCAATATCTGAGATTGGACTTCATCCATGTCTTCAACATGGGCAGTAGAAGCCCAAGCACTTGAAGCTTTTCCTCCTGCTTTTTCCAGACCATTAGCAGGGAGCTGGATCAAAAGTGGAGCAAATGTACATGAACCAACACTCACAAACTACTATGTGACCCCAAAATTGAACTTTCTTAAAAGTGTTTCCAAGTATGAGAATAAAAACTATTTACAAAAAGTTCGTTTGTTATATGAGCATTATATGAAATAAATATGCCTTGTAGCATAAAAGAAAAATTAGATTATTCAGAATTCTCCTTAAGCCTTTATGCTGGCTGATACACACACACACACACACACACACACACACACACACACACACACATCGGTAGTTAAGATACAGATATGTATCACAAAAATAACAAGATATGAAGTTTTAGTTAGCCTGGTATTCTCTTAAGAAATGTGAAATTAAAATCTGCTTGAATTACTATTAAGTCTCTTAATTTTAAAAAATTTTTACTGGAAAGTCAGATTTACAGAGAGAAGGAGAGACAGAGAGAAAGATCTTCCGTGCGCTGGTTCACTCCCTAAATGTCTGCAACAGTCAGAACTGAGCCAACCTGAAGCCAGGAGTCTCTTCTGGGTCTCCTAAACATGCGGGGTCCTAAGGCTCTGGGCTTTTCCAGGCCCCAAGTATGGACTCAGAAGGGAAGTGAAGCAGCCAGGGAAGCCAAAGATTTTAGTTACTGGGTCATTGCACCAGACTCTATCAATTCTTCATGAATATAATTTTAATAAAAATGGGTAATATTTTAGACACTGGTTGCATAATCAGCCTCTTCATTAATTCAATTAATAGTGAAGTGATCACTATGTGCCAGGAACTATTCTATGCAGTGAACTAGAACAGAGATATCAGTCCTGAATGCTGAATGAATGAAGAACAGAGAAGCAAGATATAAGCAAAAATAAATAAACCAATAAAACAAAGCTCTATGGACAAAAATAACACAGAAGTGGTAACAGAAAGTGAAGAGGACAGGATTGTAAGTGTCTTGGTAAAACTTCATTGATGATAACTGCATTTAGCAATGTTAAAGTATGTAGCAAATTTTGTAAAGGAATACAAATAAAATAGGACAAAAGCTACAGGGGATAGTGAAGCCAAAACATTTGTGTATTTTTATTTTAAGGCAGTAGAGATAACAATGTTTGTGTCCCTATGTGAATGACTCAGTAGAAAAACAAAACAAAAACAGATGATATGGGAAGGTAATTGCCAAAATAAGGTATCTGAGTAAGTATGAAGAAAAATAATCTTATGTAAATGGAAGAAGAGTTGTTTTTGAATAAAGAATCGACATTTCCTCCATAGTAACCAGGGAAAGCGGTGTACCGCATATGATAAGAGTAGGTGACATACATATACCTCAAACGTCTCAGAGAAAAGGCAAGGCTGTCAGCTGAAAAAAGGTTAAGAAAGAAGTGATGGAAGTTTCAGGAAAAAGTATGAAGCAGGCATTTAGGAGAATTGCCAATGAGAAAGGACTACAAACCTGCAGCAAGATTATCCAGGAAACATTAAGGGCAATAGTCCACTCCCCACGCAAGGCTCATAAGAAAACGTACTAATTTAAAAACCTTGTTAGGACTACTATTGGCAAAATAAAACACTACTATTGTTCTTTCTGTCAGTGTGAGATCTTTTTGACTACTTTTTAAAGATTTATTTATTTTTACTGGAAAGTCAGATATACAGACAGGTTACAACACTTTTTAAACCGGTCCCTCTAAATTTCACAGTGAGTACCGACAATTCAATTATGAAACTATCAGCCCTTGGATCCCTTTACATTTATTTTTTTAAAAGATTTATTTATTTTTATTGGAAAGTCAAATATACAGAGAGGAGAGACAGAAATTGACTGCTGAGTCACTCCCCAAGTTACTGCAACAACCAGAGCTGAGCCAATCCGAAGCTAGGAACCAGGAGCCTCCCCCAGGTCTCCCACGCGGGTGCAGGGTCCCAAGGCTTTGGGCCGTCTTCCACTGCTTTCCCAGACCACAGGCAGGGAGCTGGATGGGAAGCAGGGCTGTCAGGACTAGAACCAGTACCCTTTATGAGATCTCAGTGTGCGCAAGGCGAGGAGTTTAACTGCTAGACTATTACACCTGGCCTTCCTTTTACATTTATATATTATGTATGTATACATATTCTTCTTCATTTCTTCATTCTAATTATGTACATGTAAAACTCATACATTTAAATAAATACATAAACAAACAAACAAATAAATACAGAAATTTGGGACCAGTAGTGGGTAGGGGATGCAATCTTGCAGGAATCTCATGTGGGTGCCAGTTCAAATCTTGGCTGCTCCATATTAAGTTCCGCTGCCTGCTGATGTACTTGGGAAGGGATTAAAAGATGGCCCAAGTGCTTGGACCCCTGCATCCATGTGGGAGATCCAGAGGAGGCATCAGGTTCCTGCTCCTGGCTTCAGTCTCTCCGAGCCCTAGGTGCAGCACGGTTTGGCAGGGTGGTGACCAATAGGTGGAGGGTCTCTCCTTCTCTGTCTTTTCCTCACTCTGTAACTCTAACTTCGAAATAAACATATAAATCTTAAATAATAAAGAACTGTGGGAATTCATGTGCCTAAAACTAATATAGAAATGATTTTTTAAAATAATAATCAATAATTGAGATATAACAGACATTAGAAAAACAGTAGAGTCCAAACACATGAGGGGGAGAATTGGAAGTAGGAAGACAGTAATTCAATGTACTGCAGCAAAAATAATTAACTTGGTAACTTACTGCCGATCGATCCAGGAAGAACTGATGAAACTCCAGGAAGATGCGGCGAGTTTCCTTGGAATTGGTCTGTTTATACAAGTCTGAATAGAGATAACAGAGCTGTAGTGGAGAAAAAGATGGTTAAGACAAAGTAAGAAACCAAAAAAAGATGTAATATGCTACTGCTTTTTGATTAGGAATATCTGCAAAAGGTGGATCATGATCAACAATGTAGTCATGACCATGTAATCATATTTGCATATTAAAAAAATCAACAATAAACAATGTTTTTCCCTGAAAAAAAAATCTAGTAACTAGATTTATTTTCTAGTAACATTTTACATATTTCACAGCTATCCCTTTATGTTTGGAAAACTGAAAGAAGTCTGTTCACTAACCTTATAGATACAAAACATTCTAAGGTATACACATCAATAAAAGAACTTTAAGTCAGCTAAATTATAAAATATATTACCAATGTTGCAGGGTCAAATTGTGAAACTACATGGTGTAAGAAAACAGCCAAGTGAGCAGGGCGAGATTTTAGCAGTTCAATGCTCTGGAAACAGCTGCACTGCCCATTAATCTAGAGGAAGAAATAATTACACATCAGTAACTCCAATTCATATATACAAAATGCAGTGTGGCTCAACTGAACATAGCTATCAAAACTATACTGACTTCTTTATATAAAAAACTCAGCATTTTGAAAATTTCACTAAATGAAATAGTAACAAAGCTATGGCTAACTCTGCCTCTAAAAATCAATCCTCTTCTCCCTCCCCCTCAAAAAAAATCAATCCTCTTTTGGGAACACTTTAGAAGAAGTTCATATTGGAAAAATGGAAGCAAAGGAGATGATTATCAAGGCTCAAATGCCTATAAATAGTACAGGAAAAATAGTGTTAATAATTCTTACAGATAGAGATGGCTGTATGGTCAACCACAAAAGAACTGTTTCTTTTTCTTTTGGGCTAATCATAGACATGACAGTGGAAAGTTCACTTATATGCTATTTAAAAAGACCACTCCTTGACTATTTGTATAAAACCTAAGTACACTGAACACAGCAAATATTAAGTTGGGGCCAGCACTGTAGTGGGGTGGGTTAAGCAGCCACTGCTGAAGTCAGCATCCCACATGAACAGCAGTCTGAGACAGAGCTGTTCCACTTGTGATCCAGCTCCTTTGGAACAGGCCTGGGAAAGCAGAAGATGCTGCCCTCTACATGGGAGTCTCACATGATGTTCCAGACTCCTGGTTTTGGCCTGACACAGCTCCAGCTGCTGCAGCCATCTGGAGAATGAACAGCATATAAATGGTTGATCCATCTTTCCCCTCCTTGCTCTATCTCTCTGCAACTCTACCTTTCAAATAATCTTTATTTTTTAAAAAATTAAAATAGTGAATTAACATTACAATTTCCATTTAAATCTTTCATTTAAATAAGAGAAGAAAATTAACCTAAAATGTTAACATTAATTTGCAACACTACAGGCCAGAAAAAATGCATGGGCATTTCTTAAATCATTCCAAAGGCCATCATTACCACATTGTCAAAACTAGTCAAAGATATTACAAAACATAAAAACCAATATCCGGGACCCAGTGTGATAGCCTAGCAGCTAATGTCCTCGTCTTACATGCCCAGAATCTCTTATGGGCACCAGTTCTAATTCCAGAGGCCTGCTTCCCATCCAGCTCCCTGCTTGTGGCCTGGGAAAGCAGTCAAGGATGACACAAAGCCTTGGGACCCTGCATCCATGTGGGAGATCTGGAAGCGGCTCCAGGCTCCTGGCTTCAGATCGGCCATTGCAGCTGCTTTGGGAATGAATCAACGGATGGAAGCTCTTCCTTTCTGTCTCTCCTCCTCTCTGTATATCAGCCTTGCCAATAAAAATAAAATAAATTAAAAAAAAAAAAACAGTATCCCTCACGTACATGAATACAAATTCTATAGCAAAGGACTAGTACATTAAATTCAACAGCATATAAAAGGGATAGTATGTCAAGACCAATTGGAAATAATTCTAAGAATGCAAAGCTGGTTCTACATTATAATACCAATGTAATTTATTACTAAGAGTGAGAAAAGCCATATGATCTCAAGAATTCAACAAAATTCAAAATGTATTCATGATAAAAATCTCTTAATGAACTAAAATTTTTCTTTAACCTAATGATCCTTAACCTAATAAAGCGTATTAGCAAAAATCCAAGAGATATTATACATAATAAATTAAGACTGAGTGCTTCGTCCCTCAAGTTAGGAAGAAGGCAAGGATGTCTGGCAACCTCCATTCAACCTCACACTGAAAGTCCTAGCTAGTGAAGAAAGAAAGAAGACATAAGTCAATCAGGAACAAGGAAATAGGACTTCTCTTCAAAGGCAACAAGCTCTCTACTAGAAAATTCCAATTGTTATTTCTAAAAACTACTTGACATAAGTAATTTAAGGAAGATTACAACATACAAGGAACCAAACTAATCATCTTTTATGATCAATGAGTACAGCTTGAAATAACTTTAAAATGACTACTTCAAATTAACAGCTTCTTCCTCCCCAAACCATCACTGATATTATTTTAATATTTAGTAAACAATAAATCAAGTATCTGAAAGTTAGTAATTTAGGGGTGAAAATGCCCTCACCTGTTCGTGCTCAGTTCCAAAATCATCATCCTCTGCTCCAATAATATGAGGTGTCATACGGGTTGAGGGACTCCCAATGAGTGCCTGAGTGTCCTGGTAGCATGCAAAGATAAAGAACACACCAACAGAAAAGTTATCTGGTGGCAGAATCCAGAGGGAGAATAAAGCCTAAGTATGCAAAAGACATGAGTCACTTAATCATGGAATTTCTGTTTATTTTCTTTGAAGGAATTTATTTTCAAATGAATAGTTGTCAAATTTTCAAGGCGAAGAAGCACTTCAGCACAAAAAATAATCACATTATCAACTGTTCTTATGAGAAAAACATTTCCCCTGAAAACAGTAAATATTCTTTGCTCACTACACTCTTGATTATGATTTTAATTACTTCACGTACCTAGACACTGTTACCAAAAGAGATGAAATGATCTTTACTTGAATAGTTAGAATGACTAATATTTTTTTAAAAAGTGAATGAAAACAGTAGAGCACAGGAAAGATGAGAGTAATGCCAAATTTACTAAAAAGATGAATGTTTCTGGGAAGTACTAACCAAAGGTTTCCACTACTCACAGAGGACTAAAAACAAAGAATTCTATTTTTTCATTTTTAATTATTTTTCTAAATGCATAATCCCAATTTTTCAAATTTTGACACCACTGGTATCTGGGCTATACAAGTCTTTGTAGAGTGAGTTATTTAGCAGCACCCCGCTCTCTAATCATTAAATGATAGTAGCCATTTGACTGTAAAGACAATCAAAATGACTCTAGACAATGGCAAATGTCCCTTCTAAAAGACAAAATCATTTCTGGTCAAAAATAATTTGCATAACACAAAAGAATTTTCAAGTTGTCTCACAAACACTGCTTAGAAACAGTTAACAAAATTGTGAAAGAAAAGTCACAATTTGCGGGAAAAAAAAAGTAATTATATCCCATGTAATATCTCATTCACTTGTGATGCAGGGGCATGGATATATAACTCAATAAGCATGAGATGTATGCAGATCACAAATACTAAATCAAAGGTCACACAAAACTGGCAGAAATAAAAATGGGGAAGACACAGGCAAAAAGGATTTGACCTCAGTTCAACAGCAGCTGAATAGTAACATCTAGAATTCAACAAAGTGGGGAGAGGCTATCAGGCCTTGGATGTCTTCTGTGCAATAATTGTGGTTGAAAACATGTAAAGAGATGCATAATCCATAAGCCAGGAGAATAATAAAATGTATCTTCAGGTTTTCTTTCTTAAGTATGTTGCAATATCAGGTATTCACTTCCTAAATTATACTAAAAACAAATAATTTTAAAACTCCCCGAAAAAAGTCAGGTGAAGGAGCGGATACATTGCCACTATGACCACTTGGATCTTATAATTATCTAATGGCTCCAATTTCTCAGTAGTCCTTATGATCTTAATAATATAGCAATACACTGTTTTATTATAAAACTGAACAGATTTAACTTTAAAATAGAATGCTAAAATCATTCTACTTAGAAAATATAATTTCAGCAACCACGCTTCTAGGTATACAACCTACAAAAGAACTGAAAAGTTGAAAAACAATAACTGAAAACAGGGCAGTATTATTAACAGTATACAGGGGATAGAAGCAACCCAAGTGTGTCCTTTGACAGATAAGCAGATTAACAAACTGTGGTATACATCACAAAATATTCAGTCTTTTAAAAGAAAGGAAATTTTGACACGTACAACTGAGACAATCTTAAAAACAGTAAGCAAGTTACAAAAGGAAAAATATTATATGATTTCATTTTTTCTGCACCTGAAGTAATCAAAATTACAGAAAAAAAGAATGCCATTAGGAGCTGGACAAAGGCAGAAATGCAGACTTAGTGTTTAATGGTACTGAGTGTCACCTGTGGAAAACAGGTTGTACAAGTGACAACATATGTAACAACACTGTACAATTAAAAATGGCCCAAACACTAAATCCCAGGATATGCATGCTTTGCTACCACAGCAAAAATTGTGCCAAGCAACCTAGAAATGCTAAGTAACCAGGCAATGTGTATCATTTATTAGAATTTTGGAGTTCCTTTAAGAAACTTTAGCTTTTTTCTTCTTCAAAAATTAAATATGCAAACATAAGATCTATCTTACTGTGATGAAAAACTAAACACAGTGGTAACAGTGCCTGGGCATCATACTCACAGTGTCCTGAACTGCTTCGGTTTTCTCTGGGTTTTCTTCCAGAGAAATCCTCTCTCTGAGGCCACTCCTGGGACTCTGATGAGAAAGAATTAGAGAGAGGGTGGGAAGGAGGAAAGAGGGAGGGAAGGAGAGGGGTGGGAGAAAACAGGGAGAGGAGTGGGAGGAGAGGAGAGGCCTTTCAGTACATTTCAATGGACTCACTAAAACAAGCAATGGCAAAATGTGAAAAAATAACATTCTGACTTTCACATTGAATCTAAAACTAGTAGTTTTTTTTTTTTTTGTATAATATTTGGATCTGCTACTTTTATCCTGGCTTTTCAAAGCTCTTACTCTATTAGTTTTACAGCTTTGTGTGGGTAAACAACATAGTACTAACTACTTTGCCTTCAGGTCTGGCAATTAATTTTCGAAGCATTTTGCCTTATTAATTAAGACTTAAATTTAACCCTTTGGGTTATTTATGTGTGTATGTATTTATTTTTTGGTCAAGATTTCACATAAAAGCTGCTACATGGACTTTCATATGGTAAGTCTGGGATAACCTAATATAAAATACATAGTATAGGACATGAAGAAAATTCGGTTTTGGCGGATGAGGAACACCCAAAAAGTAAGGAGTCATTCTTCAGAGCTAACTGAAAATGAAGAGTAGAGGCACTATCTATGCATACAATTAGATATGAGAAAACAGTAGTTTCTGGTGATTGCGTCTAGGTTTTAGATAAAAGATACAAAAGACAGAACTACACTATTTCTGTCAGAGAAAACAAAGGAAGCTTTCAAAGATATTAGAGTTACAACAAAAACAACAAGGCAAAATGGGAGGTTCAATCAACCAACAGGGTAACACCTTAAAATATGAATTCACAATGTTTCACACACATAAACGTTTCACTAATCACCAGTAAGGTTTGTTAAGGTAAAGACTTTTCTTAAAAGAAGATTCCTTTCAAATTCTTCCTTGCCAAGAGTCAACCGAGTTATCCTGTGTTACCTGTATAAGGTATATTTTAGGGTTACCTGATAACTATTAATGGAAAACTCTTTTATAGGATAATTCCCTCTAAAAAACACAAGAGTAAAAAAATTCTAACACCATCCTTTTGAAACTCATAATTAAAATAATACACCCAGACATTTTGATCATCAACAGCACACAAACATTTATATATATAAAAGATTTATGTGGCAGGCATTGTGGCACAGCCTGGGACACTCCACCATATGTTAGAATGCCTGTTCAAGACTGGGTAGTCTGCTTCTGGTCCAACTTCCTGCTAATACATCCTGGAAAGCAGTAAATGATGTCATAAGAGCTTGGGCCCCTGCGACTCACCTGGGAGATCAAAATGGAATTCCAGGTTCCTGGGTTTGAATTGAACTAACTATGGCTATTGTAGCCATTTGGGGAGTGAACTAAAGAATAAAAAATTTTGTGGGCCCGGTGGCATGAACGCCTTGAATGTGCCAGGATCCCATATGAGTGGCTGGTTCTAATCCCGGCAGCTCCACTTCCCATCCAGCTCCCTCTGCTTGTGGCCTGGGAAAGCAGTCAAGGACGGCCCACAGCTTTGGGACCCTGCACCCGCGTGGGAGACCTGGAGAAAGTTCCTGGCTCCTGGCTTTGGATCGCCACAGCACGGGCCGCTGCAGTCACTTGGGGAGTGAACCATCGGATGGAAGATCTCTCTCTCTATCTCTCTTCCTCTCTGTATATCTGACTTTGTAATAAAAATAAATAAATCTTTAAAAAAAAAAGGAATGGAAAGTTTTCTTCCATTCTTTGTGCCATTTAATCACATGAAAATAAAATTATTGAGCATCAACCAAAAAAGACTGATGAGGAATTTATGATGAAGGAATCATACTGACATCACCATTAAAAAAACGTAAAACCACAGTAAGACAACGGGTCACCTGATGTGAGATGAGATGTGCTACGATCTGTGAATTCCTACTAAACAACAATTGCCATCTAATTCAGGACCCACAACTAGCTATCAGTTTTCAGGTATCACAGACAGAGCAACAGGTTACATAACATCATAAAAATACAATTAAGAAGTAGTTGTTTGACTGGACATCTGACTCCACTTAACAAAACATAAAGTTAATGAAAAAAAATCAAGGAAGCTATCAAAAATTATGATATAAAATGCCTTAACAAGGCCTGGTGTAGTAGCCTAGAAGCTAAATCCTTACATTGCATGCACTGGGATCTCCTATAGGTGTCAGTTTGTGTCCAGTTCCAATCCAGTTTCCCACTTGTGGCCTGGGAAAACAATCGAGGACGTCCCTAAGTCTTGGGACCCTGCACCCGCATGGGAGACCCAGAAGAAGCTCCTGGCTCCTGGCTTCAGACTGGCTCAGCTCCAGCTGTTGCAGCCACTTGGGGAGTGAACCAGCGGATGGAAGGTATTTCTACCAATGTCTCCTTCTCTGTAAAATCTGCCTTTCCAATAAAAAAATATATATGTATTACAAAAAAAATTTTTAAATACCTAGTTTTTTTAAAAAAGTCTTAACAATCAAAGTTGACTTGAATATACTGAACAAATTCTGATTCAAATAAACAAAGTGCAAATGTATTCTGAGACAATTAGGGCATATGAAGTTATACTAAGAAAAAGATTAAAAGGAACAAAAACAAAAAAGAAACAAAAATTAAAAACAAAGTTACAATAAGAAATTTTTTTTAATACATCTGAAAGGCAGAGAGAGATCCAGGACAGTCTCTTTCATCTGCTGGCTCATTCTCATTCAGCAAAGGCCTTTAATAACCAGGACTAGGCCAAGATGAAGCCAGAGGCCCAGAACCCCATCTGGGTCTTCCAACTCTGTGTGTCAGCACTCAGTTACTTAAAGCATCACTGGCTATGCAGTAGCAGGAATCTGAAGATCCTCAGACTCTCCGATCCAGCATGCAGGCACCCTAAACATTATCTTACAGGCTCTGCCAATATGCACTCCAGAAAATATTAATTTTTTTTAAGATTTATTTATTTTTATTGAAAGGTGGATATACATAGATGAGGAGAGACAGAGAGGAATGTCTTCCGTCCAACGGTTCACCCCTCAAGTGAATGCAACAGCTGAAGCAGAGCCAATCCAAAGCCAGGAGACAGGAGCCAGGAACCTCCTCCAGATTTCCCACACAAGTGCAGGATCCCAAGGCTTTGGGCCGTCCTTAACTGCTTTCCCAGGCCACAAGCAGGGAGCTGGATGGGAAGCGGGGCTGCCAGGATTAGAACCGGAGACCATATGGGAACCCGGGCGTGCAAGGCGAGGACCTTAACCACTAAGCTATTGTGCTGGGTCCTGAAAATATTAATTCTTAAGGTTTTTTTTAAAGGCTTATTTTATTTTTATTGGAAAATCAGATACACAGAGAGAAGGAGACTCAGAGAGGAAGATCTCCCATTCGTTGATTCACTCCCCTAGCGACCACAATGGCCAGAGCTGACCCCATTCAAAGCCAGGAGCCAGGAGCTTCGTCTAGGTCTCCCATGTGGGTGCAGGGTCCCAAGGCCTTGGACTGTCCTCAACTGCTTTCCCAGGCCATAGGCACAGAACTGGGTGGGAAGTAGGGCCGTTGGGATAAGAACTGGTAGTCATTATGGAATCTCAGTACATTTTAAGCGAGGACTTTAGCTGCTAGATTACGTGCTGGGTCCTAAATCTTAAAGTTTGATAAGGACATAAATAGTTATATTTTGACAACACCTTTCTATTTATTACATATATCTTAATGAAATGTCTTGTATTTATATTTCTTTTGAGTGTTCAAAGAATATGAAGAAGTATGAACTTGTGTTAATGCATGTTGAGGCTCCTTTAGCAGGAACATGGAGATCCATATTAGCTCATCTGCTTTTGAATGCTTAAGAAATTTCCAACTTTTCAAAATATCCAAACAGCATCCTCACATGTTCTTAAAATGGTATACACAAAATACATGAAATGTACTCCCTTCATATAAATTTCTTAAAACTGTAAGAATATAACGTATTTAGTGAACGAGATCTTTCTCCAGAGCCATCAGAGAAAAGAGTCCTGTTAACATCTCAATTTTAGAGTTCTAGGCTCCAGAATCCAAAAAGAATAAATTTCTGCTGTTTTCAAGAGAAAAAATTTTTTCCAAAATGAGTAAAGCAGGGAATATTTTTTAAAGCATTTTTTTCCCCAATGGGCCCAGCACTAGACAGTGGCTAAATCCTTGCCTTGCATGTACCATGATCCCGTGTGGGCACTGGTTCATATCCTGGCTACTCCACTTGCCATTCAGCTCCCTGCTTATGGCCTGGGAAAGCCACAAGCCTGGGAACCCTGCACAAATGTGGGAGACTCGAAAGAAGCTCCTGGATCCTGGATTAGGATTGGCTCAGGTCTGGCCATTGCAGCCACTTGGGGAGTAAACCAATGGATAGAAGATCTTTCTGTCTCTCCTTCTCTGTATACATCTGCCTTTCCAAAATAAACAAACAAATAAAATCTTAAAATGGTGAAATATTGTAAAAAGATTTTATTTATTTGAAAGTCAGAGTTAGAGAGAGAGAGAGAGAGAGAGAGAGAGAGAGAGAGAGAGATATCTTCCATCTGCTGTCTGACTCCCCAGATGGCCATAAAGGCCAGGACTGGGCCGGCCAAAGCCTGGAGCCAGGAGCATCATCCACGTCTCCCACATGGGTCATCTTCCACTATTTTTCCCAAACCATTAGTAGAGAGCTGGTTCTGCAATGCAGCAGTCAGGACTCATTCTGGCTCCCACACAGGATGTCAACTTCACAGGTCCCATATTTATTTTCTATGTATGCCTCAACACAGGCTCCAAGCAGAGATTACATTTTTACTTACTTACTTTTAAAGATTTATTTTATTTGAAAGGCACAGTTACAGAGACAAAGAAGGAGAGACAGGTATCTTTAATCCACTGGTTCACTCCCCTGAATGGCCTTAACAGCAGGAGCTGGGCCAGTCCAAACCAAGGGGCCAGTAAATTCCTCTGAGTCTCATAGTTGGGTTCAGGGACCCAAGGCTTTGGGCCATCTTTCACTGCTTTCACAGGCACATTA